AAAGATTCTTGATATTCATGAACAAGAGAATCAGAGGACATACTTGATTGATTTTGTTTGACAAAGGTCAAATCAACAGTCAATTTTGATTTCATTATTCAAAGATGAAAATGCTCTAGCTTCAAGAAGATTATTCTTTGTTAATCAAAAGATGTGTCTCCTTCTTTTGGTGGAAGATAAGAGTATCTAAAAAGAGTATCTGATAAATCTTGTTATTTTTTAAGTTGATATGTGATCTTATAATCAAATCTTGATAATGACATATTCCAACAGGCTTAGCAACAATTCAAAAGACGAGCAAAATAAAATACTTAAGGTTCTTGAAATTTGTATATACTATAACTGGACTTGAAGTGTCTTTTAGATAATGATTCCATTCTTGAAATGAATGCACAATTGCAAGAATTTTTATTTTTTTATTTTTTTATTTTTTTTTTGTGGATTTCACAATTAATCTCAGCTGCTAAAAATTTTGTGGAATAAAAAGCTACTGGATGGAATTTGTCATCTGTTTTTATTTGTGACAATATAACATCAAAGATAAAGTTTGATGCATATATTTCTATAAAAAATGCCTTAGAAAAGTCGATGTGATAAAAAGTTGGTGGAGAAGTAAATTCCTTCTTCAAATTAATAGTATTTACTTTGTTGAACTATATAAATTATTGTTGTAGATTCTAGACTTCTTCCATAGGCATAGGTATAGTACCTCCTTGATTGGCATTAGAAATATATGAGATTTTTACTCTTAGAGTGTTCATAAGCTCATGAAGAACAATAATAGTTGCAAATCTATCCTCCTTTCTGATGAGAATAGCATCTATAATATTTTCTTTCATAGTGAATTCAAAGAATTTTTAAAAATTAAATTAAATGAAGATAATCTACACTTTCTATTAAAAATTTCCACAAGGAAGGGTAATCTACTTTCTTTAAAGAAAAGTTCAATGTTAAAAAAGAGGATTTTTTGATTAAAAGGTGGATAGTCTACAACCTAAAAAATACAAGAATAGAAGTGAGATAATCTACTCAATTTTCAAGAAGATAAAAATAGTATGTTAGCGCTCTTATCACATTGTCTAAGACATGAATCTTGAAAAAAGAAAATCCTAAACACACTCTTGTATCATTGAAAGGAACTAAAAAATCACTCAAAGATGATATAATATTGAATATGAATGACTATTGCCAAAAACAAGAAGACTAAAAAGACTTGAAACAAGACTATGGACTAAAAAAGTGTAGATAAGAGTGAAGAAGGCTTCACTCTTGCATCCATATATAGTCTTAACTAGGAGCAACATGGTGATGTCCTAAAAGACCTCTAAAACATGCTGACTTTGCAAGACACGTATCTTAACTTGTAAGATAAGTTTTCTATATGTGAGCCACATAGTTAGCTTATTTTGCAAACTACCAATACATGGTTAACTTGTTGACTAAGTTTCTAACCTACCAATCAACTACAAACAGATGTAAAGTCAAGCAATGTCTATGAAGTTTTTCTAAAGGATCTTTTAAAAGTAATCTATTTTAATCTATTTCTATCTATTTCTATCTAATTCTATAACTATTTACTATAATATCTAAGTAAATTTGTGACATATGGAAGAAGACAAAGACCTCAAAGTGTACATCAATAAGATGAACATACTTATAAATCAGTTTGAAATTATAAGTAAGTGAAGAGAAAATACTAATGTTATTATGACTATTTAAATACTTCTATGAATCCTACAACTACCTCATTGTGGCATTGGAATCAATAAAGATCAAAAGATTCTTAAAACTACACTGAAAGGCTTATCACCATAGCCAAGGAAAATTGTATAACAACAGCTTTTTATCTTTTAAAATTATTGACAAGACTTGACTTGATAAGAATGTCAAGGTGAGGAAGTTTTTTTTATTTAAGTCTTTAAATTGTAGCTGACACTAATAAATTTATTTAATAAAATCTACTAAAATAAATTAAAATAAATGCATTTGGTAAGATTTGGCACTTATTGCAACATCATGTGACAATTATCATGTAATTAAAGATTATGGCTCAATTAGATCTACATCAAGATTTAAGAAGAATGTTAGCCTACACTCAGGCACATTTTAGTATTTATTATTTATTTGGTATTTGAGATCTTCTTCAAAACATTTGTGCTTAGTGTTAATTTAGTTGTTATAAGGTATGAAAAGTTTGAATCAAAGTCAATGGTTCAATAATTTGTTATTGAATTTTGATCTGCTGTAAGGTTATTAAGAGTTTTATTCAAGATTTAGTATTTGATTAAGAATTAATTATAATTGATTTTATATTTTTTTAATATTTCTTGTTATTTGCTTTGAGATTAATTAAAGACTTCTTTGTTATTCTTTTCTAACTTTTGTTACATTTATTTTGAATTGGTTAAAGTTTAATTAGGATTATTAAGTTTTATTTAAATTTTATTAAAGATTCTATTAGACTTGGTAGGATTTTTGTTGCATTTCTACTTACCTTCTATAATTAAGTGCTTAATGCATTCTCAAGCAAGAACACACATAATACGACAAGGTTACATGCAATCTTTGATTTATGTGTAATATCATAATCATAATTAAAAAGCTATATCTAACTTATTTTTACATCTTTTTTTAATAAAATAAATATCCATTAGATGCCAAAATTCTCCAAGTATGCAAAAGTTATATAGACTATTTTTTCATAAGATGATATTATTGACTTTTAGATTAATAAATATAAACGTGTAAGTTATATTTTATTATTGAATGGTATTCTTAAATTCCTTGTTTTATTCATCTTGTATATTAAGTAATTTTATAATAATAAGAAATCTTAAAATTTTATTTTTTTATAAAATTTCTAAATATAAATATATGAATATTAACAATTAAAAATAAAATCAATAACAAACCAATAATTGTATAATATCTATTCCAAATATATGCTTGAATGAATTGAATATTTATATTGTGCTTAAGAATTTCAATTATGATATAAAAATCTCATTTGTAAATTTATTTATTTATTATAAAATAATATTATAAAATCTATTCATTTTTTTATAATGTTATTATTAATAAGTTATAAAATATCGTTTAAAGCTAAAAATCCAAGCTTCCACAATCTCATTAGAAAACATAATACATGATTTGTGTAATAGGATATGTCTTAATATAAAACTTTAACACTCCCTATGATTATTTTTTAATAAACATAATACTTCATTTTTTTTAATAATCATAATACTTCATTTTTTAATAATAAATATTAGAGATATATAAAAAATACTATTTATTATTAAAAAATTAAATATCAAAATTTATGTTTTAAATTATTGTTAGAATTTATTGACTTGTTATAATATATTAATCAAAAATAAAAGATGGTGGTCATAATACTTGTATAAAAAGTAAAATAAATCCTTTAAAAATAAGCATATTAATAGAAGATTTGTAGTATTTTTGGCTTTTAAAGATTAATTCTCAATTTCAACATAGATTGAATTATTACAATTTCCTAAAAGTCACATTGTATGATTAATCAAGTCCACAAGTTGAATTTCTTTGCAATCAAGTAAGATTTGGATACAAACAAATAATGATTGTTGTTTCTAATAACATTTGAAATCAATACAAATATATATATATATATATACACATGTATAAAAAATATTAAATAGATCTAAATTTTTACTAAATTAACTTATTTTAACCATCATAAAAATAAATAAATAAATAACTTTTAGAATTATTTCTTCACTATTGAATCTACAACTAATAAAAACTAACCATATTTATCATGATTAATATATTCTTCATCAAAGGTGAATCTATTTAATAAAGGCATGCATCTATAATATTCTTCTATATATATATATAGATGAATGTTAATTCTAGTTTTTGATTTTATTCTAGTTTAAATATTTGTTTCTATATATATATATATATATATATATATATACTTATTTATTATAATAAATATTTAAACTATAAAAAAAATCAAAAACTAAAATTAAGATAAAAATCATTGATCCACAAGACCAACTCTAACATATATATATATATATATATATAGACTTGGAATAGACTTGCTGTCATGAAATCTAAACCTAATATGATTGAATTACATTGGTCAATAAAATTGAACATATGCAAAATGGAACTAAGTAGGGGATATATATATATATATATATATATATATATACATGGGAATTTTTTCATATTTTTAAAAAGAAATAAGAGATTGGTTCAGTTGAGATTAATGACTTACCATGAAGAAATTCCCCAATGAAATATTTCTCACCCATGTGTGGTAACTCTCGTCATCAGAGTGTCGTCGATTCTTTGGCAATCTGGAACTAATGGAGATCGTGGGAGGAGCTCCGCATGAGGGAGCGAGACTGCCGAGTCTGGATGGATGTTTGTTTCTTGTGCCTCCTTGGATCTCCTCTCTATTCATTGTCTCAGATTCCGTTACTCCTGCCCGACGAGCATTATCACTCCGATGCACAGTAGCCGTGAGCATTGCAGTATGGTGGTGCAGAAATTCGGACGTCCAGAGGAAGAAGTGCAGAGGATTTGGTCATGGCGGTTGGTGAAAATTTTGCGCAGGTGTAATGCAACTGGTGCTGCGTGCTCCGCTTCTTGATGGATCTCGCACTGGTTGCTGTAAGAATTAAGCATCATGAGCAAAAGGATTTTAGACGGACTTCAGAAACAGAACAGAAGTACACAAAACGTGCTGCGGCCAAAGAAAGTAGCCAGGTGCCAACAACTATCTACCAAATCTTCACATGTTGTCATACCTGTGAAAGCAGCGAAGGTTACTCCAAAACCTTCGCGAGATACATTGGATCATCCTCAGAAATCTGCGATCAAATTCTTGAATAATGAAAATTGCTGGAGACGGAAAGCAACTTGCAATGGATTACTTTCCCAATCACCCGAGAAAATCGCAATCCCGAATCCACATATTGAGCAATTTCAGCAACTGTTCATGCAACACTGTGGGAAGAGCAGAGACAAGGATCAAACACCCGGTAACATTGAGAAAGACATGCCCGAAGCGGTGGAACCGCTGGGACTGCAAATGTATAGATCGAACAGGGAGACTAAAAGTGAGAAAGACCGTGGTTTGGAGGTTGGACCACAACCTATCACAGCATCCAGCCTTGAAGAATATTGTCTTTCTGGGGGGAGGATGTTGCCCCCACTAGTTGAAGATTTCATAGGTCAGTTCCAACTTCACGCACTGAACTTTCCATGTCCGGAAACGGTGCTGACGTGGTTAACTACCGCAAAAAGTGAATTGACAGATCAGAGACCGATAATCACCACATTACTTGAAATGAGCTGAAATTATGGGTCAAAGAAGGACAGGACTCCTCATGAATATTGAAAAGGAATGTTGAGTCAAATTTGAGTATTAAAATTTTGATAGGTTCTGTGAAGATCAATAGAGTCGGAGATGGACGGGGCAGGGGATTGGTTCTCTCGAGCAATGTAGCAGCTGGAGACGTTCTTCTAATATGCAACCCGATTGCAATTGCGAGTAAAGTGGAGACGGAAATTGTGGAAAGCAATCTGACTCTAGAAGCTGGAAGTTACACGGGAAGCCATGTACTAGCAGGGCAGCTGGTAGAAATCCTGACACAGGAAGCATGGCGATCCTCCCACATTCGAGCCATGCTGGCCACATTATGCAGCCGGGGCGGCGAAGAGCTTCCCGTTCCACCAATCAGCCTATTCCGCCAAGAAAAAATAGCAAATCAGACACCACCACGGGATCCAGTGCCAGCAACGACCGCCTTCCCGCAGAACGAAATCGCGCGACTCTGCGGCATAGTGCAGTGCAATGCATTCGGCCACACGCAGGTCACGAGGAAGAACGCCAGGGACATCACGCGGAGCTGGAGCTGCGGCCTGTGGATGCTCCCTTCCTTCATGAACCACTCGTGCACACCGAGCGTCGCAACGGTGGTGATCGGCAACGCCATGATCATCGTGGCCGCACGGGATCTCAAGTGCGGCGACGAGCTCACGGTGGCCTACTTCGACATCTTCCGCCCGCTGCAAGAGCGCCGCGCCAGCATGCTTCATAGCTGGAACTTCATGTGCTCTTGTCCTCGCTGTGCTCTTGAGGCGCGCATGGAAGACGCCCTGCGCTTGGTGGCCCGCGCCTACAGCCTTCGCGAGACGGAGGCCGCCATTACCGTCCAAGTGCAGCATATCGCCAAGCAGCAACAAAGCCAATGGCACAAATACTCAAGTCCATACTCCGTAATCGACCTGGCGCAGCTTGCTGAGTACATCGAGAACGTTCTATTCCAGGAGCGCGGGCTCACACGCGACGAACGGAACTGGATCCGCGCTTCGTTCCTCTCCGCTTACCTGGCCGACGGGCGTCGCCTCATCGTCGACGTGCGGGGGATGGACGAGCCGCGTCGGCGGAAGCACGTCCGCAAGACGCACATTCAAATGGCGCTGGCTGCGGCGAAGTCAGTGACGCCGGGACACCCGCAGACGCTGCAGATTGCCGCCGTGGTTCTAAAGCGCACCATCCAGGCCTTTGGGAAGCATTCTTTGTTTGTGGATAAGGCCCGCAAGCGCGCGCTTGCGATCTGCTTGCGGCTCTTTGGACCCCATCGCGAGCATGTCTTGGAGAAGATCATTCACGCCGCGGCCTCCGATGTTTTGTCGTCCAGCGTCGTGTTTCTCAGTCGGCCGTGACGTCCGTTCGTTCGTCAGTCAGTTCGGTCGTCGCATCCCCTCTCCTCCCCCGTCCTGTTGCCATTACTTGTCTGCATTCCTTCAAACTAAAATGCGGGATTTAGGGATCCTAATTTTTATCCAGTATTGTATTCCTCCGAAATTCGTTTCGAACACGTGGATTTCGAGCCCAGAGCATGCAAATAAATAAAAACAATTAATTAAATAATCTAGCGATGTTCCTATGTTGTAATTGTGTCTATGGACTGTGATAAATTGCTAATAAAATAAAGGCTGCTCATTTAAGATCAAGAAGAGAGTACAGCTAACTTTCAAATTATTTAAAATACGTAAGGTTGAATTATATTTATAATTTACTGGTTGATAAGGCAATATGAAAAGAAGAAGGTTTATTTTAGCGATTTCCTTACATCAATTGCAATGTGTGTGTGTGTGTGTGTGTGTGCTTACATATATATATATATATATATATGTATATAAAAGATTCAATGTAAAAGGAAAACAAAATTAAACAGTCTAGTTGAAAAATATATTTGTTTGAAAAGGACAAAACATTTTTTTATTTGGAATTTTTTTTCCTGTTAAGTAAACTTTATAAAATCTTTCTAGAGTTGTGATGTCCTACTCAAATTTATAATCATCACATGAATAAAAGAAAAAAGTATACATATTTTATTGTATTATTGCTGCAATTACCAAATACAAAATGTTACAATACACAATCCATTGGGTTTTTATTTAAAATAAACTCAAAAATAAATAAATTAAGAGATCTTTTAAAACAAATAAAAATACCGAGATTGATACCCTCAAATTTTGAAAACTGGAGTCTTTAATAGACGTAAGTATGTTTTTGCATTTTTTCTGTTTGCTAATATTGAAATAAAGACAAGACTAGAGGCAATCTTGTACAACTTTATGTCCATTTATTAATATCTTTCACAGTATATCAATTCTTTTTTTCTTTTTTCTTTTTTTCCTTTTGACAAGTTGTACTTTGTAGAGGATTATATGGTGATATAATGTCATTAATTTATGATTATCTAATGTTGTAATGAACCCAAAATCATTGGATTGAAGAATATAGTAGTGTCAAATTAAAAAACTAATGTTGCAAGAAATACAAGAATGCCTAACCAAAGAGGATAAAATGACCACAGAGATGACTTATTTTTTAAAAGAGTGCAACAAAACCATTGCAGTTTTTGTTATCATTTTTTAGAATGTCATAAAGATTTTTTTAATTATGTAGTGAATATAATATATTTTGAAATGTATTTGTTAACATCTTCATTACTAAAATATTTCTATTTCTTGATGCAAAAGAAATGTGTACTAAAGGTTGTAATTTTTAGATACATTTATAAATCTTGTGTTGATTGCATAGAATTTTGATATACTTATTTAGTAATGAGGGAGTGCAAAATCATTGCAATGCCTATTACTATATGAACCATAATATAAAACTAAGTCAAGAAGCCATTGTTGCAAGGCTCACAATAATTCTATATTTAAGAGTTTTCTATCTGTATTCAAAGAATAGATATTTTTCTAATATTTATTTAGGATATTGCTAGTGTGATCATAGGTTTTGCTATTGTCACCATCATCCACCACATCCCACTTTTGTTCAAAATCTTTCAAACCAATCAACTTTTCTTTGTTCAATACCTTTTCTTTTATTTTTTTGAAAAAATATATTGTTTGGAATAAAAATAAATTAAAAAAAACATATCAAGTGGGTGTCAGGTTGTGGTGGCAATAATAAAAAATTATGGTGGCATTAGAAACATCCTTCATTTAAACATTCAAAACATGCAGAAAATACAAATAATAAGCTATTGAGACAATCTTTGATATAACATATTTGTAGCCTCTATGAACTTGTAGCCTCCGTAAACTTATAGCTTAGAAATATATAACTTGATTTTTATTTTTTTAATTTTTTTATTCTAATTTTCAATCTTATAATCAACATTAGGTGACATCATGTTGGTATTTTATTTTTTCTACGAAAAACATAATTCCAAAACAATATAAGATTGAAAGAGTACTACAATTAATTAATGTTTTTTGTGATGCTACTTTTTAAGTAAATGTCCATAGTTGAATTTTGATTCAAATTAAGATTATTGATGTCTTTAGATAGATTAATACATGTAATTCTGTATTTTTGGCTCAGATACATCATTAGCTCAATTTAAAATAATGCTTGACATGATAAATATATGACATACATAAAAATTTAATAAATTTACAAATTTTCACTAAGATCAATGTGAGCTCCAAGGGTCTCTTATATATATATATATATATATATATATATATATATTCTATTTCACTGTGAGCTTCATAAAAGCAATGAATCAAAAAATGTCATTAATATTGAATTTTTTCATGTAAACCTTATAAATTATTAATATATATTTTTTCATGTCAAAGAAATAGTATCAAGAGTTTGAAAAAAGATTTAGAAAAATGTCAACTTAATATCTATGCTAAACATATATAAATCTGGTTAATGAAACCATATAGAAAAACTAGAATTTTGAACTAAATGTAATTGTATAGTTATAAAAATATTTGCATGGATACTTTTATAGGACAATAGTAGTTATAATAATATGAAAGTATAATCCTTGTTATTTTAATAGTTCTACATACACATAAAAAAAATATTTTTATTATTATTAAATTATTGATTCTGTGGATCTGAAAATGTTATTTGATTTTGCACTGTAATCCTTTGTGTTTATTCATTTTATGTATTAACACTTATACAAGATTTTTTTATGATATTAATATAATAATTATTTAGATTATTGTTGATGTACTTGATTAATTCTTCTGATGTTTTATTTTTTTATTTTACTCGTTAATAATCACTATTTATGCTGAGAAAATTGAAACATAATCATAAATTATAGTTATTTTATTTTATTTTATTTATTTTTAATTAAATGTTCCATTCAGCTTTCTATGCTTAGCCAAGTATGAATTTTTGGCTACAATATAATATCTCTTTTACTAGTACATTGGATGAAGCACTAAATATAAGAGAAATTACATTATTATTTAGTATATAGAATTTGCTATAAAAATCATGTTTTTAATATCAAAAAAATTGATAAGAGTATCTAACATTTAATAAAAAAAATTACTTGGTTTTGGAAACACATAATTCAAAATAAGCCATTTAATTTGAAATCAAATGCAAACATTTAAGCAAAAATAATAGATATTGTAATAGTATTCTACTTTGCAACAAGATAAATTATGATTATACTTTGTAATTTGGATAACAACCACAATAGTATAATGTAGTTGCTTCTAATACATGTTCAAAGAATATGAAAGAAATAAAAGAACAAAATTTTCATATTAAAAGGCAAAATAAGGTAATTGGCCCATTAGTAACTTAAGCAATTCAGCATACATGCAATAAGTATATAATGAATAAAATATAATATAATATAATAATTCCCATGTAAGGATATTGAAATCAAGAAGATTTCATGAATTTTTACACAATTTAACTTAAAAAATAAAATTATATAAATGTTCTAGTTGAAAATTCTCTTCAACCTAAATCCAACATATAAGCCAATCTAATTCCAATCATTGGTGGTTTACAAAATCAAGAACCTTCTTTTAAAAAAATTGAGAAGTGTGGTACCTAATTATGCTATCAAGTTTCACCTAATTTTGTGCTACCTATAGATAATGTATAGATGAGGCAGCTAGAATTCAAACATCGATTTGTAACAAATCTACCATTTTTTAGTGGAATTATTGTTGCCATTCTTTTTTCTTTATACTCATCTCCAACCTTGTTTTACACATCTTCTATCTTCCGGCCTCACTCTAATGGCTCTCTTAAGATCTCTCTCCTCCATTGGATTGCATAGGCCATAGTTAAGGTATTGGAATGTGATGCAAACTTGTAAGATTTGGATAGATGGGCAATTGTTGCAATTGCAACATGGATTGTATAGGGATAATATAATTTTGAAATGGGCTCCAAAACAAAAAATAATTGTCCCTCATGAATTGCAAGTCATATGCTAGACAATGCAATGAAATGCAAACTAGCCATGTTATGTGCGTTCCCTTGATGATTGCATGCCACTTTGAATACTAACAAATTTAACTTACAAACACTAAAATCAGTTGTGCTCCTTGCTTCACAATTGAGCTATGCAACTACAAATGTAGAGAAGTTGAGAGCATGCAATATTTTATTTCCAATTACAACTTTCTGGATTTTTTCCATATTACCTATGCAGTACTAAAGATTACAATCACACTCCTCAACTACATCATGAACATATAATTATCAACTGCCTCATGTTTGCAACTCCATCAATACATAATTAAAATTTAATAGTTCAAGCATGCCCATTCCTAGTACAGTGTTTTATAGATTGTGCATAACTGACCATTATTTAACTAGTTCCTAACCTATTTTCAACCATCAGATGTCAAACATAGTCATAAATAGGACGCCAAACATGCAAAAATATTCCACCCTATAGATCAAAAATAGAGGGAGGAGAGGAGATGGGTGGATCAAGTATGGATAAGCTACCTTAAATATAACAAATGAAAGCAATTCAAAAGATAAATGATGAAGTACATGTAGAACAAACTCTATATAAGACAATCTTTATGGCAATAGATGACTAAAGATTGACAAAAAAATATTATATATATATATATATATATATATATATGTAAATACATATTTATATATAATTTATATGTATTTATGCTTAATATGTAATTAAGGATAAAATACTATGTTCTAATAAGTTTTGTTTTAGGTTGTTGTATTGTGATATAATTTAATTGTTTATAATTCACCACAATTTTAACATCTTTAGTTTAATTGGTATTTGATGATATCATTGCTTTACCATTTGATATTTTATTAAGGCATTGAAGTTGAATTAGCCTCTCAAATTGTAAGAAAAGAATATTTTTTCCTATTGTAAATTTATGCAACAAATTTCATAATTGAAATCTACAATAAAAGATTTAAAAAAAATATATAGTATACCAATTCTATGTGAAGGAATCAATATATTCTTTACATTGATATATGAATTGATTCTATAAGAAAATTTCACATCAAAACATTATTTCTAACTTCATATTCTAATATGTTACACATAGTTGAAATTACAAATTGTTAGAATATTAAGTTAGAAATAATGTTTTGATTAACTTAGTATTCTAACAACTATGAGGTGATTTTCTACTTGACAAAGTAAATGTTCAAAAAACATTTATTTCCCACTCTGATTTATTAAGAACCTATCAATAAATGAACACAAAATAAATTGTAATTGAGGTTTCTTGTTTCAAGTCCAACAATCTTCTTCCATGTCTTTTTCTTGTGTGCATTCATCAACAGATTCATGATATATCCCAAAATTCATGACAAATTATTGTATGGTTATAGAATAGCGTTTGCTTCTCAGTGCAATTAATTGTTGTAGGTGTAAAGAAAAATTACTCAAATCTAATGAGAATCAAACACATAGATCACTCCTTTTCGAATTGAAGATAGCAGGCACTCCTCTCCATCAACCTTAGGTCTCATTTGAGATCTCTCCGTGACATCTGGTTGTACCACTTTCCGATGACACACTCAGAATGAGTCTGCCAAAGCAATGGAAACATAACATGGATTCCAAGTAAACATGCCATACTCCAATAACAAGAGAAGTAGCTAAAAGTGCAAGGAAGAAGCTCATTACGGGCTCAGTCCAGCATATAGTCTGAAGCAAAGACTAAACCAAGTTTTGAATCAATCAAAAAAAGATATCGTTCACTGAAAACAACGTGAACACATAGATTGTGTCTGCATAAGAGCTTTCAGGTGCCAACTGTGACACTGACATCATGTACAACACTCGCTAGATCTAACACTGAAATCTTGAAACAAAAGTAGAAGGAATAAGATGAACGAGATATAACGAGTGTACTGAGCAACTGTGTGCCCATAATATTCTGCAAGGATGAGAGCGCCGAACGCCCTTAAAGAAAACTGCGTGCTGATAAAATGCGAAAGTCATCGTTGAGGCTAGATATTATGTATAGAGGAAGAATTCGGGTGAAAGACTACACAAGAACTATAAGTGATTCATTTCGATACAAGGAGCTACTGCAACTCTGCATAATGCGAAAAGGGACAGAACTTTTCACAAACACGCACATATACCACTTGGAATGAGTATATAATAGGCCACATAGTGAATTCCAGTAACAGTAGAAGCGTATTATTCCTCTTTCCTGCTCATCCTTCCGAGCACTCTCTTCAACTTCAATACCAACCACACCACAACCGCCGCCTTATTGCAAGGAATCTGAGTAAAGAGGTCTGCAGTACCCAAACCAAACTCATCCGCAATCCTCAATTATGTTGCAGACACCCAAAAGCAGCTCCTCAATTATAGATCTTTACAGGTTTTTCGAAGTTGTGACGGTTCTGCCAGATTCCAATCACAAAAAGGCAGTAGTAACAGTCGGAATCAGAAACTTTATATTAAAAATATTAAACATAAATGCAATACAATTGCAACATAAGCAAGCATTGAATAAAGATCTTGTTTTACAATAAAATCAGATAATTTGAAAAATTGCAGTTTACTACCAAAAACAACCTACGATCTCTACACGGGGAAATAAAAGTTGATGATAAAGCCGCAAACCTGGTTTGTAGTATGTGACCGTTTCGGTGCACAATCAGCATGCTCAAGCCCCAAATAATGCTCCCATGCACCGTAAGTGTCTCGTTTCTAAATCACATAACCAACCGATCAGAAATCAATAAAGATGAAACGATTTGATTTAATAAGCTATGTAACACTAACCTAACTGAGGGATGACAAACAATCCCGCTAAAAATAATAAGTAGCAGATCATTTTACTCAGGCTTACCTGAAAACGGGCAGCAACAACATCTCCATCTTGAAGATACTCAGGTCGGCCCAGTGAAAGAAACGCAAACTTCCACTGAACAAATGACAACGTCGAGTTGTAATTAAATACCGCCATGTTCTCAAAAGTTGAACGGAACGCACACAGAAGTAAGTCCAAGTGATGCAGACATTAGTTAACATACCTTAGAGAATTCTTCATCAGATATCACTAGCTTTTTCTGAATACGTTGCTTCACTTCAGTCAAAGTCTCATTCTCACGAACCACAAGGAAAAATGGTTCTCCAAAATTTTGAACCTGTGAAGGAAGTGATACAAGTACTAAATACCGCATAACACAGATATACCAGTTTTTGAGGATAAATGATCAAAATTATCATGGATCATAATATGGAGACAGTATTGAGATGAGAACACGCACGGAAGCTGAACTTACAACTTTTGGGGTCAAAGTGATAAGATAAAACGAAATCACCAATATATAGGTCAAAAGAAATACCATGTAATTTTGTGACGCGTCACGCGTGAAATGATACACGTGAATCAAGCGATCTTGAGGACCAAGTTCTTTCTCCTCATCAGGAACCTGTCAAAGCCAGGCCCATCAACCACTTAATAATAGGTTACATAGATGCATGCACTGGAGACATTTTTAGAGAAATCAAGCGCGTTTAGCAAAAGTAACTTTCACCCCACCACTCTAATTCCTCCATGTACATTACTTTTCCACTGTCATAAATCAACAGGGAATCACCAACACACAGAGAAAAGCCACACCTCCTCAGCTCGAAGCGTCCAGTATTGATCATTGATGTTCTCAATCTTCTCGCTCAAGGGGAAGATCTGGAAAGATCCCAAAAGATGTCGCGAAAATACATTTATCATTTCAACTTATTACCGACAATAAAATCACGAAATCAGAAATAGGGCATTAAAAATAGTATAACGCTACCATTCTACTAGAATCAATGACCCCCTCTCCCCCCCAAAATACCAAGCTCAAATGCGATCCAAATAGACTGAAGTCTGCAAATAACCTTGTAAATTTTGTGATAGAAAACTTCAAGAATGCGAAGCTCCGCCTTAGGACTTGAAAGCTCAACCTTCAGAAACCAACAAAACAAGCACAAATTACATAAGAAATAAAGCCACTAAAAAGAATTCTATCAGGTGTATCAGGTGCTGCTGATGTATACATACACATTCCCCGAAAAGTAGCATTAAGAAATCGTGCAGTGAAAAAATAAGAAATACCTTCCCCTTTAACTCGTTTACAACATCCCCAACTGTACTTTGTTTGGGAAGACGAATATTGTGAACTGAGACCTGCATGCACTTTAAGGACCAATTAGATATGAAATGAGCTAAAAAGATTTCCACCTGGATTACCAGCGTCAAAACTAGGCTTTCAAATGCCTCGAAAACCTGCAAATGAGCGAACCAACCTCCTCTGTTTTCGCGTTGTGGAAGGCAACCTTCAAGGTTTTTAAACCCTGAAGCTCAGGAAGGGGCAAATCCAAAGTCTCAAAATAGAGAATATCCGACGTCTGGGCAAACCACGAAAAAATCAGACCAAAATCATTCATTTTGTAAAACAAAAATATTCACCACAATAAACGAATTAACAGTATGATCAATTTCGTTGTACCTGATTATAGTGTACGAGCATATCACTTAGTCTTTCAACCCCCCGATACTTGATGGGTTGTGGTTTTGGTTGCTGCGAGTAACAATTGTGTGATGTAAGCCTGATCTTTGACGCGTCCTCCAATTTAATTTCTTCTGCTACCTTCTCGACCACATCATCATATGTGTGTTGCTTCGACCTACAACACAAAAGATAACAAAGTTTAAAACCTGCAAACCAAGAAAAACTGGATATTTTACATTCATAATAAAGTTCTCATGGGGGGGCTGACCAAAGCCCGTATATAATAAATAGAAAGCCGAGAACATCATCGCACCAAAACTAATCAAACATTGCGAATACAGTAATAACTAATTCTATTGCACTCTCACTTCAAAAAAGCTATATAAAGAACATGAAACATCACGGCAGAACAGTCACACAACGGATGGGAAAAATAGGTATAATTGACAATAATACTAATAATATAATCTCAGAATGTATACAAGCAGCAAAGGCAAGTTCAGAAACTTACAATTCCAGACAAAATTCGTCATCCTTGGGTTTGTCTAGGCGACGAAAATGTACGATCTTCCCAATTCCCAACCAAAAACCCAGTGTGAAAACTACAGTACACAACAAACATAAAATTCTTGGAAGCAATGAGACCATCCCACCGAAATCAACTTTTTAGGTTGGTGCAAAGAAAACTACTTTGTGAAAACAGTCTAAACAAAACGCTTATTTCAATGCTCAAAAAGATAAAATCTAAATATGTTGTCAATGAAGTCATGACCCATATATTTCGCCCATAATCGTTCGTGTTACCTGTCGGTTGCGAACATACTCCAAAAATGATGGAACGTCAGGGTACCGGGAAGCCAATTCCTGCTCCCTTGTTAGAGCTCTCTGGTAACAGATAATATCACCATCTTCCAACTGCAAAATAGTCACCCCGTCTGGGTCAAAAAGCTTCCTAAAATAATTAAGTACTAATATTCGTAACAAGCATTTAATACTAGCCTTCATGGACCACAACAGGAATGGAGGGGAGCTAACCTGGCTAGCCTTGAAAGTGGACTTCTTTTCAATGTGCTCGCACATGACATTCGGCTCAAACTTGATTTCCTGCAAGCTTAGTGCATGGATTAGATAGAATGATCCAACTGGCGAAAATAGTGCTGACTCATAATCCTCACATTCATTGTGTTGTTATTTGTGGACACCTTTTTCAAATAAATAGAAGGTCAAGTTTTAGAACATCCAGAAGAGAGTGAGAAATTACAAACTTCATCAAACTACTGAGTCATTATACCTCGTACAGCTGGATCTCCTCGTTCGGAGGAAATCCGGCCATCTCATTTAGCCGCTCCAAAATATCAGCTGGTCTACCACTTGCCTTTACATAAGATCTACCTACGTAACTGCAAAGACGCCTCATAGAGCAGTTAGTATGAGGTCTGAAGCATCAAACCAAGTAACGATGAGCATACTCAAAATGATAACCATCATCCTAATATTATTCGGAGAGACGCTCACCGCAACTCCTCCTTCAAAGGATCGTACAGTTTGAAAAACAAAAGCACATCCTCCTTCGTCTTAATTGGAGGAGGCATTGGAACTGATTCCTGTAAAGAAACAATAAACAGAAGGAAAACCGGTTCAAATTACGGTAACAAGGTTACATACTAGTGAAATCCACACAAAAACCAGCACATAAGAGTTTTAAATCCACAGAAATAAAATAGACAAAATCGTGTCATACAAAAATGACGAGCTGCAACGCAAAAAATACCCAAATCGGTCGTGTATGAAAAGGAAAGATACGTACTGCACCAGGGGTGCGCTGCACCTCCAAGAAAAGTTTCAACTCAGCATTGTGAGCCTTGTTGGAGGCCTCTTTTAAGTGCCCAACCTGGACATCAGAACAAAAGAAAATTCAAAAGCATTATTAATACTGCTGCATTCAGATCACGAGTGACTTATCTCCTAAATTTCAAGAGCTTTCGCAGCAAACGGACGAGAATACTAAAGCGAACACAAAAAATCGCTAACACAGAGAATAACAACAACACCAAGAAAACCATCAAGAATAATTATGAATCCCAGTGCTGACAGAAGCAGAAGCTACCGTTTGAGCCTCTTCTTGCTCAGTAAGTGGTCTATTAGGACGATATGTGTGGTTTTGGCGCTTCGCCCAAAGCCAAAACCGTTGACACTCAACAGGGACGCCAAGCTCCTTCGCTATTTCCTCCTGCAGAAGTGAGCGCACAATTATTCAGGCTTGTGAGGTTAAAATCTCTAGTGACAAGCAATTCAGTCGAAACCAAGCACAGTTAAACGGCATCGTTGACTAATTAGGGTAATAATGCGGACATGCCTTGAACTGCGTAAAGAGGGTTTGCTTTTGGATGCGGAAGCTGCGAACTTTTTCATGATCTACCAAATCGAAATGGATGTCCTTTCCAATCTGGTTCTGTAGGTCTTCATCCCGTCCAACCTAGAATCCATGAAAGTATTCAATCAGTCCGTCTGCTACTTGGATTCCATGATAACTAAATGCAAAAAAATTAGATGCAAACTTGCCTTAATGATAGTGTAAAGATGAGCTTCAGCCTTCTCCTTCCTCTTCCTTTCTTTCTCCTCTTGCTCTTTCTTCAACCTCACCTGAATCAACAAATAACACGACTCAAATAAGGAAACTGAAGCTTCAATATATATATATATATATATATATATATATATATATATATATATATATATATATATATATAAGATGGTTTTTTCTATATTTTGAGTTTCCTCACACACACACACATATATATATATATATATATATATTTTAAGCACCATCATTTGGTTAAACGGAAGGGGCTGAATGCCGCCAATACTGGCAGTTCTCAACGCCGAGTTTAATACCGAATTACATAGAGCAAACAGACACACCTGAAAGGAATAACTAGTTTCACCAGTTTCTTAAATTACCTGCAAATGTTCTGCAATATCCTTCTCATCCACATTGCAAACAATCTTGTCCTTGTCGGCCTCTCTGATATACACCAACATGTATGCGTTTGAGTATTTTGTGAACTTGAAGGGAGTGTTATTAAAACCTGGATTTGTTTGTGGAAGCTGCAAGATAAGAACATCACCGCACAAATACGGCTGGATTTTAGTTGCAACGCTAGAAAAAACCATCATAAAGCATAATAATATCAACTAGTACTCTGAAGTATACTGATTATCAAATTTCAAAATAAGATTTAATATTAACTGGTTATCCAATGATCAATTAATGTGCCGAATTTTAAAATGGAGGAAGATCGCGATACGTACTTCCTCCTCTCCTCCATACTGCTCCTCAAGAGCTCTCTTAGGCTCCTCCTTTGTCACTCGCTCATCATCAAACTTAAACCTATCCACAGTCATCCACAAAGAATCTTAGAGTGGATCTACACTCACACCTACGCAAAAGTAAAACAAAAGCGTCAAAAGCTCTCCTATGTCCTATATCAAACCGTGATTTAACTATGAAAGATGACTGAGAATTCTAACAGTGGAAACCGACTTCTACTTTTAAAATACGAGTCCATGCACATGTAACCACGCTCGTAGAAGCAAAGACAACCGACAATTACGAGTTGATGCAGAAAAAATACCACTGGTCAGAGAGTGTGGGTCTGATAAAAGCGTAGTAATGACCACCATGTACTCCACCACTGTGAACCAGTACACTGCCACGAACAAAAAAAAGCCAATATCAATTGAGGCGATGCAATAAATTTTGGCACAAGGCACACCTTCTGTAAGAAAAAAATAAATTAATAAGTAAAAAGGGATGTATAAAACATCAGGAAAACATTAACACGAGAATCGAATGATTATGCCCCAAACCTGTGCAAGGTGTACAAATTTCGAACACTACGGTCGGCATCAGGAGAGAGGTACTTTCCGTTCTCCCTATCCAAGTCTAGTTGCAGTGGAAACTCATAGCGATCATTAATCTGCACAACAGAAATATTGCTTGAAGCAAACAGTATAAAAAGACGCAGAATAATACATCAAATACAGAACTAACAAGCTAGAAGAACACAATGCAGCAAATTGAAGAGAATGAAGAAAATCTCTTCACCTTCACCATTGTGTCTCGCATAAAGTCATACTCAAAACGCTTTAACTGTAGCTGAAGAACAGGGGGGAAGTCTATAAATAGGACTCCTTTTTTCGCATCCTGCAGGACACAAACCCCAAGATATGTTTAGAATAATTCTAAGACACAACTCAGATACTGAACCTAAAGGCCTGTGAAATAGGGTCATCCACCTGATTGTACTTATATGAAAATTCAGTACCTGCAACCCAAATTGTTCGGCGTGGTATTTGTTCTCGCCCTCCAACCGTTCTACTTCAACATACTTGTCAAAAGATTCATATACATCCTTGCATCCTTTCACATCCAGCTGCAAATCTGAAAAGAAGAACATACTATAATATTAAACGCTGAATGCTTACAATCTAGTGCCGAATTGGAGCTGTACTTCCACCTGGAAAAGGTTCATGCGCACGTCCTAAACCACAACCGCAATAACAATATGATATTTTCCAGGTTCCAGCAAACCAACCCTCCTCTTTCTAAGACAGATGTTCAATGAAACAAAATAAAGAATCATTCTTGATTGTCAAAGTCTCCATCCTGCTTCTAACTTCAACTGCATAGTCGTACCATAGAAAGACTCTTTCCGTGTTGATTTATAATCAACATTGATGCACTCTATGTAGTTCATGTGATGCCCTTCGAACAGTTGCTGGATTGTGCCCTCGACAGCAGTTCCCTGTAAAAGCACAGAAGGATTCCCACCAGTAAACATAATGTACCCAGCTACTCTTGAAAACCGAGAAGACATAGCTAACAGAGATTTATCCATACCTTCATTTTGTCTTCCAGCTTCTCGCAAAGAACCCGATTCAGCTCTTGAACATCATGTTGCATAAAAGAGTCGTAGGTGTCCCACCCAAAAGATTTAGTGAGATCCTTTGTAGCAATACTAGTATCACTGTACTGAATTTTATAAAATAAGCTCTGTAGGGCTAGAGGGATGCTGTTAGATGGAACATCGTTTTCAGTCGTTGGCATATGATAAACAGCCTGCAGCAGATCAAATCGACAGCAAAAAATTTAGATTGAAAAAGAACAAAAACTGCCAAAAACTTTTAGTAGAACTGTTGCTCTCTGCAAAAGGTGACTATAACTTCACTTGGATCCAGCAAGCTAAACAATCAGTGTCACTAAACTATCAAAAGAAACCGGTATGTTCGTCAAAAAAACTGAATTGTCATGACACCGTGCTTACAAAGATTAGTATTGTCATACAATTATTGAATGAAAAGTGTCAAAGTTGAATAGAAACAAAAGGCACCCACAGAGAGGGAACTGGTGGCATCCGAAAAGAGACCAGCAACCACTCACTATTGCAGAAGTGTGTCTGCATCGCTACGACAGCTAGTCATTATTCACCTACTGGACTAACTGGCTGCAAGTCAGTTGAGTTTTGCAAAACATCGGACCATTGTGGACTGGAATGAATGCCAATTTAAGCTATTACTTGGCTGAAAGGGGTTTCACGTAAAAAACGAGAGCTGGAGTGGCAAAGTTTCTCATTCTGGTCTTTCAGTAATAAAACGAAACTGAACTAGACACAATAAACCGAAAACTGGATAGAGCCTCCTGGCACTGAATTGCACTGAATTGCAGAATGTAATTCAGAAATGATCTGTGATGGCAGGGAAATAACCTTCCGAAAGTAGGGCAGGTGATACAACGTCTGGAGGAGAGAATTCATGTAGCATGTCGCTCCTTGATTCTTCAATCCAACATAACCTGTCTCTTTCTTCGAATCATACGCCCAGTAATCGACCACCTTACGAACATTCACATCAGCTTCTACGATAAGAGTATCATTCATCAAGAAACCTCGAGATGGATCGTACAAGTCTGGTAAAGGCATGAACGATGTGAATCCCCAATCACTTTCGCGTACATTAAAATGATGCTGTGTATCTGCAAAAGAAGTCATACGTGCCCTTCAGCCGCTGTTACACAATATTCTGCTCCAACATGTCTTTAAGTGCACTTCCAACAAAACTACGACCACGTCCGAGAATGACAAAAGCAAATAAACCATTTCCAACGCCCATTGCATCTGCAAAGAGAAACGCTTGCAGAGGATGGAGGCATACAAAACGAACCTTTCTTGACAGTCAACTTTGGGTCATACGGATTCACAACGGCCAGAGTAAAATGTGCAAATCTACTCCAGCCATAGGGTAGCTGCGCGGAATCAGCAACATCCAAGTATACTGAGAGATGATCCACATTATTGCCTTTCGGAAATAACAGCACCCGCCTGCAGCACCATAAATGATCCCGCTAAGATGTCCACCCTCAAATTCAAGGAATACAACAAATGCAGATACGAGGTGGAGTGCTTACCATTTGTAACCACCAACAGTAAACGTTTCGGAATAATGCTTTCTCAGAGATAATTTCGAGAAATTCTCGATATTCCATGTAAATTTCCCCGTTTGAGGGTCATCCACATGCTGATTCTCCACAGTAGCAACACCTTCTCCTTGCCCTACCACTACACAACCATGGGATAATGAGCAACTCTTCTGATTCAAGACCAGATATTCGACCTGATTGAAGAGCATGTATTTGCTCAACAGGAAACTACCCTGACTAATAAATAAAAGCACTTAATCCCTAAACAACGACCAAAAATCCACGTTCAAATAGCGGTAGCAGCCGACCAATATCACTACACCCAATTTTGAAGTGCCTGGACGATCTACCCGACATAATCAAAACTCCATTCACTTTAGAGCCACAATAAATTGGATGAATTCTACCTCCAAAAAAAACCCTCTGATGACTACAGATCTACGCGACGGCAGTCGAACAGATGGCAGCAAGACTGATGAATTGCATAAAATACACTCGAGAACAATAGCCTCAATTACTTGAGATCTACATTAAGACACATACACAACGACAACTCGGAACGCCAGGAAAACTCGGAGTCAATTTCATGCACGTCAACTACCACAGATTACACTAAGGAGCATATTTTCGGCTGCGGTATTTCCAAACCCTGAACAAATCCACACGGCATTGCATGCCAGAATATCTCCTCATTCCAGGGCTTCGATGCTTTCCCTAACAAGAGACTGAATTAATTATCCACACTGATTCCTGCCACACACCTTCCATCGGTTCAATAACGTCGTTGAAGTCCTGGGGAGGCACCAGCATATCATCATCCTCCTGCCACATCCGCACACCTTGCGTAAGTCTAACATCCAATGTGGATCCAATGTCGGACCCCAAACCCCTAACATCCAGTCCTAGATTCCCCTCGCAATCCACGACAACGCTTTCACACCCTCCACAAAATCTAAAAGCTCATCAAACCTCACACCCTAACTACACCGACATCCAATCACCACCGCCATCAGAGCAAGCCATCCAGCACCAACCCTACATGCAACCGCACGAACGAACGAGCGCAACAAACCGCCACCACGTACTTCCGGGGGTGCAGCGATGACAGTCATTCTGGCGAACGACAACACCGACAACGCTCGTCCGCAATCTCCTCACGCACGCACTCCTCCCGGCGCTTTGTTCACCCTCGCGATCCGACGCTCCTCTTTCTCCTCCTCGTCTTCTTCCTCCTTTTCCTCCCTCCGAACCCGTCCTCCGCCAAAACCTAAGCCGAATCGCGTCCGAAATGGCTCTCGGGCTTGCCCATCCCCGCACGGCACGTCACATCAACCAATTCCCTAAGCTCCAGCCCTTGGCCACAGCCGCGAAAAGGCTACAGCAACGTGGAGGAGAGCACTGGTGTAGATAGGGGCAGGGTCAAGGCGGAAGGGGAAAGGGGAGGGAAGGAAAAAGAAGGGGAATGCCAAGGATGAGAGAGGAGAGAAGAGAGAGAAAGGGGGAAGAAAGAGAGAGCCAGACGGTCGAAGCGAACAGAACTTCTTCTTCCTCTTCAATAGAGTGAGTGTGTGAGTGAGTTCATGGGAACGTCGGGCCTGCTCCCCGAAGTAGTATGTTTAGGCTAGCAACCCCCCGTCACCCTCCCCTGCCCTCCCCGCGATCCCGTCTCACTGGAGCCCATAAGAATTACCTCCCCAGAGCCCACACACTCACCCTCCTGCCCTGCCCTGCCCTGTCCAGCCCGTCTTCCTCCTCCAGGAATGGGTTCCCTAACCCTATCCCGGGGGTCCTTCCTAGGACTCACCCTTGCCCTCGCGGATAAAGGTACCTTTCTGATCTCCGTCCATGACCGTCCCTCCCTCCCTCGCGAACCCTCTCTCCATCCGCATTGGCTGTGACCATGCCTAACTAATCAATCCTCTTTACCCAATTGTAAGTGACCACAAACACCTGAGTTTGTGAGCGAGTTAGTTAGTTCCAGATGTTTTTGTTGGAAACTATCTCTTTAGCTGTTTATATTCAATTTTTTTTTTTTTTTTTTGAGCATGTGAGTAGCATAGTTCTTCACATTCATACAGTGATTGTTGTTGCCAACAAGTCCACTTGCTTAATAAGTCTATTTTAGATTTGGAATTTTGTAGATTGTAATAGATTAACTCTTGTAATTGGATTTTCAAGCATTTTTTTCATTACAAATGTTACAAGAGCATAAATTTCAACTTCATTTTTAAAAAATATAATATTATTTTTTTATAATAAGTTTTAGTTTATTTCATTGATTTCTTCTTATTCAATGTGACTAATATATATATATATATATATATATATATAACATTTATCATTTGCATCAACATGGTCATTTACCAATTTCTTCTCATTCAATGTGACTAATATATATATATATATATATATATAACATTTATCATTTGCATCAACATAGTCATTTGCCAATTTCTTAAGTAAAATACAGAGATGTTTAGAAATCAATGATGGTATTTGGTGTACTAACTTTAATGTGCAATGAATTTTTTTGTAAATTTTATCAAATTTTGTAGTATATTAAAAAAAATTATGTAATTTTAAATTAGTATTAGTATGCTTGCATAAATTGACTAAATAAAATTAAAAATTAAGAATTAACATAAAATACGATGCATTGTAAAATCTAAAATTAAAGAACAAAGATAAAGATTGTAATGTGCTAATAAATTTTGTTGAAACATTTGTATATTGTAATAATAGAATTGTACAACAATCTTAACACAAAAAAGTTTAACTTCTAACCACATTGAAACATCAAAAAGTGATAAGCCAACTATACTCACTATTAGAGTATCAAAATCAAATATAATACTACATATTAATCTAATAGTTGGTTTTGTATTCTATTCTAGCATTAATTTAAATTAAAAAATAATAATTTTGTGCATGTAAATGCAAAGTACAGATATTAACAAAAAAAACTTGTTGTCAAATCTAAGCTAATAATTTAACATCCGTCTTTGTAGCTTCATGATTTTATTGCATATGGAATATATAATAATTATTTTTACTACAACAAATACATCAAATTTATTTAAAATCGAGATGTATATATATTAGTTCATTATAATGGTACGATTAGTATTATCTGTTACAAACCTAGTTCTAAAGTTGTTTTTGTCATTTTTATCATAATTTGGTATAACAATGTATGACATTCTTTTTACAAAAGTTATTCACAAAGATAAGTGAATTTTATATATGAACTTGCAATTAATAATATATTATTTGCTTTGTATGGCAAACAAAAAGAAGTTTGCTTTACTTCTTTTTTATAAATTTATTGATAAAAAATTGTTGTCACAAAATTCGTACCATGCCTTTAATTATAATTATTTCATGTACAATTTATTTATTTAGTTAAGCAAATGTAGTTTCGTTTAGAATTCAAGTGTCGTGAAAGATGAATTTGAGACCTTTTTAGACATTACAAGTTATGATTAAATACATCAAGGTAAAAAAGTAGCATGATTTTGATGTTTAAAATTCACAATTTGTATTCTATTTTTATTTAAAATATAACAGAATATAAAAATCATACACTCAAGTATATTATGACAAAACAAGTATTTGTTTCAATACTACTTTTGATAAACTTCATTCACACCTTCAAACTTCTAAACAGTGGAGAATTTCACTGGTCAATCATCCACGCATTCAGTAACGGCTTAAAATAACACAATACCTTTACATACACATAATTAAAGAGTCACTGATTAGTGGATTTCATACGAAGCATTGTTACTTTTAAACCGCAGTAGAAGCTGCACTGATTGGTCCAAAAATAGACGGATGACAATATAATCATCCACGAAACTGGATGAAGTACACGGACTCATGTAAACATATTATTAATCTGGATGAATAAGGGGTGGGGGAGCCGACGGTTTGGACGGGTCGGGTCGGGTCTTTGGAGTGGGAAGGGGCTTGCGACATGCATTTGAACCGGCCCCCGGCTTTGAACGAAGTGCCGCGGAATACAGCGAGGGCGACCAGCCAGTTCTTGAGGCACACCCGGCCGGAATCAGGGCCAGGGTTAGGGAGGGGGGGTCGTTTTCGCCGGGTCCCCCCGTCCCGTCCCGTCCCGTCCCTCCTCCCGGGTTGTGTCTGTGTGCGTCTGTGGCTGCGTCTTGTAATCCGAGCATTACAGGGGTTGTCTAGGCGATGGTGATGCTCGCGGAGGTTTTCATGTGCTCGGCTTGTTTCCTTACCACCTCGTATTCTTATTCCTCCCATAATTAGCCTGTGAATGGTGCATTTCGGGAACCAAAAGAAGTCTGCCATTAAATTTTGGAGGGAGTTGTGGGAGGTGGAGTGGGGGGAAATAGCGAGGGAGAGAGAGAGAGTGAGAGAGGGGAAAGAGTGTATACGATGGTGTGGCTGAGTGATCCGTCTGTACGATGAGGACTTCTCGTTGATTACGCGGGAGTGGACTTAAGCGGTCACGAATGTGAAAGACTATGCGGCTCTTAATCAGGTTATTTGCAAGTGTTTGAGTTGTCTTTTTTTTTTTTTTTTTTTTTTTTTTTTTTTCTGTTTCCAGGGTTTGTATTGCTGGTGAGGAATTGGTATACTGCCATAGCTTCTCTCAGGCGAATTGGTGTTTTAGTGAGACGGACATTATTTTTGTTTTTTGATTGCTAGATTGTGGATAGGAGAGAGGATTAGCGCGATCGACGACGTTGCTTGGTTTTTATTTATCCGTTCATTTATTCTTATCTATGTCCTGGGCGATAGGGGGAGAGTGCGGTTTAGAAACCCAGGATCTCAAGAACGGCGTTACGATCAGGGTAGGGGAGTATTAAGAGGGATCTTTTGCAATTGATTATTTTGGCAAGGGATCTTAAAAGAATATAAGCTTGCATCTAATCATGCATCGTTGGTAATCAGACATAGCACGAAACAGCATTACAAATAATGATTCATTGTTCCTTCGAACCTGATGTGAAAGTTTTGTTAAGGCTATGTGCTTTCTCAAGCCTTAAGAAACGTTTTGCCTAATCGGAGAAATAGCATACCTTGCATAGCTAGATAGGTTTTAGGACTATGGCGCGCTTTTAGCGGTGTTCATATTAAGCTAGGGCGGGAATATGCTTGATGGAGGGGCGGAGATGGGGGTGGTATATTGCATTCCCTTGAGCGGACTCGCATAATCAAAGTACTTCCATGACATTTACTTACCCATCTAATTTTTAAAAGCAGACACTTGATGCTGAGCTTCTGTTAGGTCTCACTCATCGTAGTTGCATTCGTGGCCGAGGTTACAAATATCATTGAGAAACCTTACTCGCAAGTGATAATTATTCAATTTCCCCTACGGTGCAATTGGCATTTCGGAGGGTACGTCAATTCATGTCTTCTTTCAAAGTCTATCTCTGGTTTTCTGAAATCTTGGATGGGCTTGCACAACCCGGTTCCGCGGGGTAGGGTTTTTATAGTTTGTCTTGATCCTTTCTTGGTGCCCTGGCTATTGCTTGTTTTCTTGTAAATTTGAAGATCATTCAGTTATGGAACGGCTAGATCCGAAAATTGATGTCCACCATTGCTCAATTTTCTGGATGGGTGCAGTATTGCTATGAAACTTGTCGGAGGCATTGTGCTTTAACTTATAGTGCACCGTGACTGGCCTTCAATGCATTTTTATCTGGTCAATAGAGCGTCATGTGGATCAACTGTCATAGGCGTTAACTCTTGTGCTTCGACGAACGTTCAAAACACATGAACTTCAAGCCAATTTAAGTCCTTCGGTGTTATAAGTGCAGATTGACTTCGTTACTTGGTGGAAGGGGGTGTATAGTAACATATACCATGCACTCGGTTATGCAATAATGAGGGGGTCGTGTGTGGTGGATAAGTGATCTCTAGAAGAGACTGATAACAAATATTACGTGTGGTTGCTTTAACAAGAGAATTTGGATCTTAGGTGAGAACAGTGGTGAAAAGAGCGTGGTTTGCTAAATATCTGGGTGGAGGTGAGATGGCTGCGAAATTGGAAGAAGCTCTATTGAGCATCAGTCTGGTATGGGACCTTTCCACTCCGGCCAAGGAAATTGTTGAGAAGGTTCGTGAGCAGGATTTAAGTTTAATACAAGCTCTTGAAGGGAAATGCAAGGATCAGATACTTCCGCTTGCATGTAAGCTGGCCCGGGGCCTGAAAATCCCGGCGGTAGTAGCTTTACTACTAAATGGGAGAAGTACGATACTCAATTCGGTGTTGAAAAAGGAAACCTCCGGAATTAATGCTCCTATAAAGAAATCTGAAGGTGGTACGGGCTTGACGGGCAAAAAGGTAGACAATGTGGTTAATGTACTTTATAAACAAGGTGAACCTGGCCCGAATCTTTTGGCTAGAAAGGTAGACGCTTCAGTAGTCAATTCCTTTGGTAGAAAGGTAGACGGATTTGACGATTCTCCTGAAGGGACCATTGTGGATTTGGTGTTAGGAATGGCATTAGCACACACTAACTCATGCATTTTGAATAAGCCGGGCGCCAAGTGTAAATCTCTTGTAAAGGACGAGTCTGGCGATTCATGGCAGGGTGAAGGCAGCAGTCTTCACAGTTTAGGCTCAAGTGGTTCTTATGCGAGCCTTGGATATGACAACTTTAAGCGGTTGAAAGACTGGGAAAGTGGAAGTTCAGAAAGTAGCCAGTTGAAAGATTTTAGCAAATGGGATGAGAGTTTTCAAACCCTTAAACCTACGCTAGACTCAAGTGAATGGGAGGAAGTTACCTCCAAGTCACGAAAGAAATCAATCATAGCGCCAGTAGTGGTGACTAGGGATGTTGGCGACAACAAGTTTAGGAAGACGTCGAGCGGGGGAAACGAGGTTGAGAAGTCAGCAACTTCTAGCCCTTCAAATATTGTCACATTACCGGCCGGACATGATGGGGAATATAACTGTGAGATAGCACGGAAACTTTTGGAGTGCCTACTACTTTTTAGCCCAAGACTGTCAGGTCATGCACAGAGTCCGCATCTCTCTCCTCTCTTACGAGCTGCTCAAGCAAATGATGAAGCCCTTGTCTGTCTTTTATTAGATGCATCTGCACCAGTTAATGATAAAGATCTAGATGGTAACACTGCCCTCCACTGGGCTCTTCGTCAAGCCACTCCTGTAAACAGACGGACTGTAAATAGTCATGTAGTGAGGCGATTGCTCAAGGCTGGTGCAAATGTCAAGGCTGGCAACAAATTGGGGGCAACTCCAGTACATACAGCAGCGGGTCATGGACATTTTGAGGCTCTCTCAGATATACTGGACAAGGATTCAAGTGGAGTCAATGTTATGGCGGCCACAAAGGAAACTCCTCTTCATTATGCCGTTAAGAACAACCATATTGCTTGTACATTCCTGCTGCTCAAGAATGGAGCCAACCGCAATGTTGCTAGTTTGCGTAACCAGAAACCGATACATCTGGCACCGTCAATGGAAATGAAAGCTCTTCTATTGCAAGATGACAAGGTTTTGAAAGAGAACACCTGGGAGAGTTTCAAGCCTATACTTGTGAATGCAGGTTCCTTAAATTATCCTCAATATTCTTTGGCTATACAATCACAAACGCAGTTCTCATCCATTGCAGACACCTTTGGCTTTCATCAATCTACTCAGGTTTGATATTCTTAACCATCTTTTTCTATTCCTGTGCTGGTCACAATCTGTGATTCTTGAACATATGGTTTAGCACCTATCATAACATTCTTTATTGAGAATTGAATAGTATATGCCCTAAAATTAAACGTTCACGGATCGTGCTAATCTGCCTCTTCGGCTCCCATTTATTCTTTTGAGATTTAATGGTAATTGGTAACCACATGTAAGTTGCTCGTATACTCCACGGTTAGAATCGCTGTAAATATTGTTTTTGAAATTTGAACTCGAGTTTGAAATATTCTTATCACTTTTTCAACTTTCACCTTTATGTTTTCAAGTGCATTTTTCGCTCTACTGCAGGATGGCAGTACCGTCGATTGGTTATCTGCTCAAACACTAGCCATTAACAGTCGGGACCTCAACCTTGGAGGTGAGATGGGCATGTTAGGCGGGAAAGAGTTGGTTAACTTGCCTCAGTATAAAACTATGATGTGTCGTTTCTTCTCATCCAGCGAGGGTTGTTTGTGGGGAAACAAATGTCATTTTTCTCACTCTGAAGAACTGACTGGTTCTGAAAGAACTGATGGAATAGATTCGCGGACTGGAGGAAGTCAGAGCGATGACGGGAGTGATCAATCGATTAAGAATTTCAAGACGAAGCTTTGCACTCATCATGAGAAAACAGGAAAGTGTCCTCATGGAGCTAAATGCACATTCGCTCATGGTTTAATAGAAGTTCGAGGAGCTCTTTCATCAGCTGCCATATCTATCCGACCCCCTACTGGAATCGACACACGACCACCTAGTGCTAATTCCATGGGGTCAAGTATAGGCAGTGATAAAGGTGATGAGTACATTAGTGCCCGAAAGATCTTCGTAGGTGGTCTGCCGCACTTTATTCAGTCGGAAGATCTGTGGGAATTTTTTGAAGCAGAATTCGGAAAGGTAGTGGATGCAGTAGTTATTTGTGCTGTAGATGTAGACGGGAAGGTGCGCTCGCGAGGATTTGGTTTTGTCGTCTTTTATGATCCAAGACATGCCAATGCTGCAGTTAAACGACATCACCTACCATTTCGTGGAAAAAAGGTCGAGGTAAAACGAGCTATGGCTCGCGTGGATTATGGTGAGGAACCTATCAAGTTAAATTCGCCGACATGTCCCTCGGCGAGTTCGTCCTCCATTCCAGCTAAATCCGTTTCTAATTCGCCAACATTTGGTCCCTCTAGCCCCGTACTTCCTAGGTCTAAGGAATTGTCATCTGTTCCTTCAGTAGTTCCCCAGCAGGCTTGGTCGTTACCACCTTTGGCCGTAGAGTCGCTCAGAAAGCCCTCTCCCGAGAGTAACGAACCCTCACCAAATAACAGTATACCGTCACCTGAGATGAATAAGCACGTAGTTTCTCAATACAGTGCCCCTTCTCTTTCTCATCTTACTTTGGGCCATAGTGGCAATTCTCATCTGCAGAACAGTTTGAACCAAATTTACAACTTTGGCCCTCTGTTTCCCCAGACCAGTAGTTACTCTCCAGATCCGGGGTTGGACAGAAACTCTTACTTATTAGATTCTGGTACAGGTTCTTTCTCTCCGTCTCCTTCATATGGTTTTACCTCTCCGTCTAGTGCTTCTAAACGTCACTATGCCTCCATAAATGGCTCTCCTGTTCCATACTCTAATGGTACGTCTTCTATAAAACATGATACATATCACCCGTCACAATCCTTCTTTAGTAGCATTCCTGGTCCCTCGCTGTATTCCTACGCATCTGACCCCGTGGCACCAGCTGATGAGGAGGAGTTTACTGAGCTTCTTGCTATGCTCCAAGGAGAAAGAGCTTAGCCATTGTCTTGTAGTGGTTGCGGCAATCACATCGGGATTTGCTCTCTGGTCTTAATACATGGTTGGCACCCGAGTTTTAGTGGTGAGGTTAGAAGACCTTGGTTACTTGTATAGACATAATGTGCCTGGTGTACATGTTTCTGGACACAGGGCTCTCTTGGATCAGTGCGTGACTGTCAGGTATTAGCTGGTGGCAGTAACTCTGCAAACCTCAGAACATTCAAAGACTACACTATTATTTATTTGAGGGTTGCATTGTTAATTGTTATGGCTTTCGTGAGATTTATGAATTTATCTGCTTCAATGATGTTTGGTTTCTTTTCTTTGAAGGACAAAACTGTGGGATTTAGTGGTAATGTATTTAATCGAATTTCAAAGGTTGAGTACGTCGTAGGATTAAATTAAAGGTCTTCATTCTCTATTGTATGACTTTTTAGTAATGCACCTGAAAGAATGTGTGATTGGTACCAGCTCTGAATCCTTCCACAGATTACCACAACTGCTGAGCAGGCTACTTGGTATGATACTTGTGACTGACGTAGGTATATTAATGTATTAAGGCTTTTGGCAAAATCAAAATGTTGGTGCTCTATCCTCCAGTTGGTACTGTAAATAGGAAACCAACTTGCAAAGACAACGTTTCTCAAGGGCAATCAGAAGACGGTGCTGGACATTCCTCTGAAGTTGCGCTGTAGCAAGCACTATACAATCAATCAAATAACTGGGAACCGCCTTTTCGAGAGCATAACTAAGAACAACATTTAAAGATTAGTTTGTTCGTTACATTCTTCGATGTAAAGCCTTCTGCTAATTCACAGAACAGAACTGAAACACAGTTCGGAACATATCTTAGTGTTAAAAAACACAAACCCTTTTGAGATTTGGACACGATCAACTCGTGAAATTTTGTACAGCCGATGTAACGCTATCTACCTGCTGGGAAATCCAATCCGCGACGCAAACACACTCTGTGTGATACTACAAAGTTATAGTTGTATACATGACTGTCAACCAACTGGTTACATAATACAAGGCCGAATTCCTTTCAAGAGCTGACAATTTACAAAATTACAGATGTAAAATGGCACTCATCTCCGGAAGTTAATCCATCAGGAATTATATACAGTATAGCTAAGCAAAACATCATCGCTATATCCCCACAGTGGCTCACGACCTGACTCCAGTTGCCAAGCCAAGTTCGGCATGGATTTGCTGGAGAGGGTGTCGGTGGCCGACTTAACTTGTAGGCCTGGTCGATTGAGAGCATCAGAGGGCTTCTTGGCCGGGTCACTACCTTTGATCAACGCGCTCACAGCTTCCTCTGCTACTTTTTTGTTAATAAAAAGAGGGGCTCGGCACCTCAAGGCAAGCGCAATGGCATCAGACGGACGCATGTCCACACTTCGGAGGCGGTCACTACCAGACGCCGAGGCTGCTGCCTCTCCCAAGCTTTTCCCCAGAGACAGCACTAGCCTACAATAGAATACGTCACTCTCCTTGGTGGTGATGGTGACATGATCAACCTGGAACAAGCATGGTGCCACACATCAACCGCATTATGTTGAAAATTTTGTGGCTGGGCAAGCAAGATTTTACGTCGTTTGGTAAACTGGAGCTGTACCTTCCAGCCAACAGCAGCAAGGGAAGAGCTCCAAGCTTCATGTGTCGCTGGTCTGCGACTTCGCCTTTCCTGGGCTGCTGTTAATATAGCCATGGCCTCTGCAGCCCCAATCACCAATTGAAGGGGAAGATCAAACCCATCCACCCTGCGTTTGACTACAACTTTACTTTGGTGATAAAATATACTGTTCCACATTCCTGCAGGTAGGGAGGGATTTCATGTAATTGCAAAACTCCTAAATTAATGTGACAATTATGGTACCAAAGATCGAAAATTGGAAGGAGATGAGATAAAGGATCCTAACCCTAGAAAGAGGACTGCGCCATCGCCGGCTTGTGCTAGAGCCACAACTTTGCCAACTGCGTATTCATCTTCCTTGCTACCGAGCCCATCGAATCCAAACGTATCAATTTCGGCAGACTCCTGAGTCTCAGAAGGAGAGCTGCTCTCAATGTCTTGTGTCTCACCTGGCATGATTTTCCAGTATATTCTAGTGAGTTATTTGTCATGTCAGCAGACCATCAATTCTACGTTTAGTCATCATGCAGCAGATCTGATCGAGAGTTTGAAACAACAAAAACGAGAGAAAACCCGTCAATAGACTAGTGCAAGGGCCACACATACCCACCTACCTGCAAGTGCAACATCGTCCTTTGTGAGACGCAAGGGTGAGATTAAAATGCTGCCAAGCAGCATCTGCCGTCTGTTCAAAGCCCAGCCTATTTCCCTCTTCGGGTATGCGGACCTCCTTCCCCATTCGCAATAGTCGCTGAACAATCCAACCACTGTTCCATACCCTCTCACTTTACCTGGTGAAAATACACCCCCGAACCTTGCCGGGGAAGAAGAAGGCACCTGCATCTCTGGCTTTAACACGCCAAGGCAGGTGCTCGGTGCATGACAAGAACATGCTGCAAACCTGCATCCCATTCCCTACTGTGAAACAATCAACCCTGCGCATCCTCCATACAATCCCCCTCAATTCTCATCAATTTCTACACCATCATCTGTATATTGAATTTAACAGCTGTAATAATACAAAATTGCACAAGTGATCTTATCATTCCGGAATAGAAGGTGCACAAACCCAATTGCAAAAATTGGTTAAGAGAAAGGAGAACGCAAAGGGACAGGGGAGAGAGAGAGAGAGAAGCACATAAGAGCTCACGTACAAAGTTGTCGTCATGATGTACGCGCCTTCACCCGAGCGCTGCGAAGATAAAACTAGATAGAGCGGTGAAATGGGTTATTGCCACCACAATGCGACTCCGCGGAACAGCCTACTAGAGCAGATTCTGCACAGATCGCTGGATAAAGTGAACCATCAACTCGTCTTGAAGGGTCGAAGACCGCGATTGCCCTGGAAACTGAAAGTTGGAAGGAAATCGACGTCTGCAGATGGTGCCATGTTGGCGAATGGCACCTGAAGCTACGAATAGTGGCCCGCCACGTCGATCGAAGTGCGTAAGAGGATCTTTTTCGTCGAACCCGTGTTTTCCTTGTGCTCCGTGCAGATTGTAGACCTTCTTCGCCCATCTCGTCCACTTTCTGTAATAGGTTATTGCCGGCTGCGTCGCATTCCCTCTGTGATTCTTCTCTTTGTCCCGCCTTTGCTACTGCCTCCTCGTGGTAGTGTCATCGTTGACAACAACTCGGGTAAGTGTAGCTCTTTGACTCTGTCTCGACCCACTTCATGTAGATCGGAGTGTTTGAGGTTACCGTGTGGAGTTGGCCGGGGGAGGAGGCAGGTGTTGACCCATCGCATCCCGCTTGTTTTCCCTTTCATCTTTCTGAAATTTCCGAACAAATCGGAAGGCGGTGCTGATTCGGTTCAGCGCGTGAATTCGGTCTGCGCTAGAAGGATGGCCACCGCTGAGTGTATGTCTTGGGTGGTAGTGTGTAGCGGGTGAGGAAGGAGTAGGAGTCGAACGGTAGGTTATGGATCTGTGTCAGAAGTAACCGTGTGTTTTTTTTTCCACATTTTTTTTGTCCCTCCCCGAGAGAATCGATATCTATTTGTTAATCCAGTGGACTGCGGAGTCTGATTGATATGTCGTAAGACTGTCCGTGGCGGTGCAGGTGCATAACCTTGAGGTCCAGCGTATCATTTGGGTTTTGGTTTTGGGTTGGGGGTTTGCGGGATCTGTGCGACGGCGATGGCGATTGAGGGTCTGGATGCTGAAACCAGCCATGGTAGTGGAAATGCCAACGCAAACGGCGGGGGCTACGTAGACCACGGGTGGCAGAAGGTGACAAATCCGAAGAAGCAGAAGCGTCAGGAGATTGCCAAAGCCAAGGGCGGGAAGGATGGAGAGAAGGGTGCTTCCAAGGTGTCGTCTGATTCGAAGCTGTTCCAAGCCCTTGAGATGGAAGCAAAAGATCGGCGGGCCAGACTCGATGCCAGGTTAGCTGCGCCTCTAACATCTGGCTTTGATGATGAGGACGAGAGCGACGATGGGGAGGCTCCTAAAGCTGAGAGTTCAGCTCAGGAGGCAGATGCAAAGAAACCCAAGGTTAAGAAGCCTAAAAAGCCGAAAGTGTCAGTTTCCGAGGCCGCAGCCGCCATCGATCCCTCGGATTTGGCCACCTTCCTGTCCGATATCTCGGTGCGCTTCTCTTTCCATGTCTTTACGCCAACTTGCACATGTTCTAGGGTTTAACATCTGCTTTGCAATTTCGCATAGCCACCTGAAACGTGGTTGATTTTGGAAAGGTTGATACGAATATTGGATAAGTGCGGATCAATCTGGAGTGGGTTTGCACTTCAGTGTTTTCCGTATCTCACAGTTGGATATTATTTTTTCACAGATTTGGGTTTGACGTGCATTGTACCGGCTTTGGCTTCTGTAGTCCGTTCTTAATGCACAGCAAGTATGATAAAGAAAGTTTCGGTCGACTTTTTTGTATACTTGGTTGACCCTTTGGCGTTCCGTCTGTTGTGTTTGTTTAGGAGTCTTTTGCAACCCTTCCTGATGTACAGCTCCTCCGCTGTGCTGACTATTTTGGTCGCGCTTTTTCGGCTGTGAGCACTGCCCAATTCGGATGGAATAAAATTCTTCGTGAAACTCCCCTGATCAAATCAATTGAGGTATTGTGCACATCCTCTGCAGTGGGATTAATTTTAAGTCGCCTTTTCATTTAGAATTAGTGACGACGGTGTTTTTAGTGGAAGTAGGGCTGATTGCATTTTACTGATAGTTAGCGTGTATTACGCAGATTCCTCTCTGCTACATCCCTGAGACCGTGAACAAAATGTTGGCAGACTGGTTGTCCCAAAGGCCTGCAGGCGCATTATCTGATTTTATGATCTGGATCTTGAAAGAGATTCTCGAAGATGCACATGCACACTCGGGTTCTCACAAGAGCTCTAAGGTTTCTGCAACTCCGTCACAGAAAACCAAGGTAATCGAAGTATTTAGCGTAGCAATAATTTTGAACATTTTGGGTTGCGGGGTAAATGCAACATTCAGTTCATATGAATTACTATTGCAAGAAGATCATTTTAGGGTATAGGGTATAGGGTTTTGCAACGTTCGTTGTGTAGCGATTGGGAAATACACCGTTTTCAGTTCACGAGCTTTTGTTTTTGGAATAACACAGGTTGGTATCCTAATTCTACTTGCCATAATTTTGAGAAGAAGGCCTGACATTTTACAACAGCAAGCTCAAACAGTGCGTAATCAATTTCAAGCTCCGGATCACTTGCCCACACTGGTGTGGGCTTATTCTCAGGTAGGACATCAACTCGTGTGACCCCGATTGATAGTTTTGAACCCCACTCTGATTAAAATAAAACTCGGAGGGCTTTGTGCCAATCGTTCACATTTTGGCCTGGTGTGTTTGATAGGCTGCCCAAGGGGACCTGGTTATAGGAATGTCTTTGTGGGTGCACAATCTCTTGCCTCTCGCTGTTGGGAAGTCCAGTACGCCTGCTTTGCGAGACACTGTGCTGCAGTTTATTGAGAGGTAAGGATATTCTCACTCTTTAGTTGGCCCTGGTTGCGAATGATTCTTCTTTTTCTTTTCTAGGGTTTATGTTTCTCTGGTCTGTCTTTATGTTTCTTATCAGGTAATATGTGAATGTAGTCTGAGAGGCTGATTTTGAATGACACTTACAAATTCCAAACATAGAAAGTCTCATTTCGCGAATACTTGCTACGTTGGTGTGCGTAGTGTGTTGTTCGCCAACCTTAAGAAGGCTCGTCCTGTGCTTCTTAATGGAGTTTCGAGGAAAGGCGAACGATTAGTTCCAGCTGCTTCTCTTGATTCTGTGATGCGGGCTTCTTTTCCCGCTGAGTCTGCTCGGACTAAGGTACAGTTTGCATTTAGCGTCGAAATTTTTAGTGTTTTAATCAGCCTATAAAATCGCTGCCTTGTTTGGAATGCAATCGCTTTGCACCACACTGCTTCTATGTAGCTATATCTATGTTTTCATTTTCGTTCACGCTTTTTAGTATATTTCGAGTTCATGTTTTCTGTAAGTTTTTCCATCATTCTCTGACGGTGCATTTATATCTGATGCAGGCTGCAGATAGGTTTCAAACTGTGTACCCAATTATTAAGGAGCTTGCATTAGCAGGTTTACAAAACAGCAAAACTACTCGACCTGTGGCTCAGCAGCTCCTTCCTCTTAGTGTCGCTGCTCTATCACAAGGTAGAAGATCTTCCTGCTTCTATGATATGTTGCCTCCTGAATGTAAATTATAAGGATCATTCACATCTTTATTTGTACGCAGATGTGGAGTCCCTTTCACAGGAGGCATGCAGTAACTTCATCTGGTGCTTGTCTCAGAACAGTGATTGTTATCAACAATGGGTACGCACCTGTTAATCCTTCAGTTCTGTAAACAGATGTTTTCAGAGGAATTATTGCAGTTCCTTGACACAATCAACGCTTGCGACAGGAATGATGACACGGCATCTTTTCAATTTTTGCAGGAAAAGCTGCATCTGGATAATTTGAAAGCAAGTAACTACGTGCTGAGTTTCATTAGGCAGGAGTTTAAGGAGGTTTCACATCGGCTTGCTCCATTCACTCAGTTAAAGAAGACTGTTCAGGCTTTTAGGGTTAAGGTAAGTACCTTGTTGTATAAATGATTGGAGTCGGGGTGGTTTTATTATATCTATCAAGAACGTGAATTTTCATTTCATTTCTTTCGAGGTCCTTTCCATGTACAGCATCTAATGTTTAATCTCTGCATGAACAGCACAAAACTATTTTGGCGAACCCTCAAAAGAACCACGATTTGGAGGTTCAGGTGAAGATTGCAGATGGCCACTGCAAAGCTATTTTGGGCAAGCTGTCATCCTTCCCCTCTTGTGCAAGTGCTACATTGACGTTGGCAGCTGGTGCCGCCATGGCTTACGGTTTTTATCTCCTCAGCCCCGACGTGAACCCATGGAAGTGGGACGGATGGCTACTCCTTAGCAAGACTCACTCTCTATTTTGATTTCTTAGCTTTTAGTTGCAAGGCTTTTTAGTTTCAGTTAAGATTGAAGAACTAGCAATGGTCTTCAAGGAACCCTCAGGAGCGCATTAGACAAAACTGTGTTTGTTGAAATTTGAACACATTAATTTACAGTGTCTTCAGGATAATGAAGTAACTAGCTTTGGTGTATACTAAATGCACGGAATGTGCTTTTCCTTCTCAGGAAGTCTTTGTAAGTGCCCGATTGCCAGTTCAATGGATAGATCTCAATGTAAAATTTGTAGATCTCATACAGCCTTTTCTGCCTTCTTACATTCGATGTGTGGATTTATAGATTATGAAACCGATGAATTTGAATCAGCTTTGCCAGCATTAGGTGTGATCGTTTATGCTCCGGGTGTATATATTTCTAGCTTAAGCCCTACACAACCACATCTTGAACTATGCTGAAATGCCATTTCTTTTCAAACACTTGAGCATTGTCAAAATGCTATTTCTTCTCAAACAAATAATTGGAGATCAATCATTGTAGTCAAATTTCTTTACAAAATATATGCAAAGACTTTATAAAATTTATACTAAACATTTTCTTTTCATTGCTTCCTAACTCAACACAATTTAAATTGTTTTTACATATATTGGAGGATGAGCAGTTAGTATAGCAATTGTAAGAAGCGAGGTGCACGTCTCATATGGAGTGTAGCACCTTAGATGAAGGTAGGAAGATTAGACCAAGGTCTTGTGATGTCTTTAGGATACTTATATGCATTAGTTGTGAGTTTTGGTGAAGCTCAAAATCTTGATCTCTTAAATAAATTATTCTTGTGGTAAAACATATTTACTTTATTTTTTATATTTTATTTCTTATCTTTAAACCTTCATAAGTTACTTATAGTAACTTGGATTTCAAACATTAGAACTAACAATTGAATTAATAGTCCAAATTAATTTGTTACTCAAAGTTTTGCTATTCTACTTGCCAAACCTTTTGTCGTTGAATTTTAAACTTTTATAAAGTAAAATATATGAAAACATATATGATAATCATAAATTTATAAAATAAAAAATAGAGAATGCCTATAATTTGCACTGATTTGAAATAAAATTGTACTTACTACACAATTTGATGTATTAGTTTTAATAAAAATGATTTAAATATATCAAAACATATAATAAGAATTCAAGTAAAAGTAGTTTTTAAACCTTAAAATGTTGATTTTACATCTTTTTTCTATTCCAAGTTTTTTATAAGTTAATTATTTAAGTATAACAGCAAATTAAGAAAAAATATTTATAGATATGTAATAATTAGTTATAAGTTCTTAAAAACATGAAATATCATATACAATTCTTGGAACTATCTAATCTATAATAGTGTGTACTTTCTTAGAATCTATTTGTATACCATCATTTTAAATTATGTATTTCATATATTGATGAAATATACAATTTTTCATCTTAGTATAGTCTTGCATCTCTAAGTTTTTATAATATAAGGTAAACATGTTGTATATGTCTTTCTTCATTTTTAGAATAAATAAAAATATTATTTGCATAATAAACAATAAATTAATTTAAGAGATCACAAAATAAATCATCTATCAAAAGTTAGAAAGTAACAAGAGTATTAGTAAATGCAAAAGATATGACATTATATTTAAATTAACAAAATCTAATTTAGAACATAATATTATATCTATTCTCATTTTTTAATACATACAAGATTGTAAACTCCATATTAATCTATTTTAGTACAAATCTTAGCTTCATTTAGTTGGTCAAAATGTCTCTATATAAAAAATAAAAGTCAATAATTTTATATGATCAATTTCTCAAGTCCATATTAATCTACTTATATTTCCAAAAAATTATTTATCTTTCTTTATAAAGAAGATTAAAGCACCTATAGAAACATTTGGATGTCAAATAAAGTTCTTTGCAATATTCTTGTTAAAATAGTTTATTATACTAACTAGATTCTCTTGCAACAAGTTATAAATTGATTCATGCTAATTGGCTTGGTTAATAAGGCATTTTATCCAAATTAATAGGATTTGGATAATAAATTAATCCAAATTAGAAAGATTTGAGTAATAGATAATTTTGGATTAATTAGGTTTGGAAAATAAATGAACCTAAACTACTAGGATTTAAATAGTAGATAATTTGGATTTGAATAATAACTCACGACCAATCAAATATGCCTAATCCACTTGAAGAACCAAATCCTTGGATAAAAAAAAATAAGGTCAAAATAATTAAGTAGCCATCCAAGAAAAAAAATTAGCCATTGTGGTTAATTAGAAGTACTGTAAATATACAACAAACTTGAAAAAAAACCACTCTTGTCTTTGGTAATTTCTTAACTTAATAAAATATTATGTTTTATTTGAATTAATAATTTTAGATCCATTTTTTTTTTCTTTTTCTTATTCTTGTATTAATCAAAGTAAGTTTTGTCTTGTTCCAACTTGAAATGTAGTTTAAGAATTCTTTCAAATAAAGATATGTTCAATTTATTTATTTGACAGAAATCAATTGTGATGAAATTTTTCAAAATTAATTTAAGTCCAACTAACTTATAAAAAATTACAAAGTTATTCATGAATCTTAATTAAAACATTTGAAGGATTTTTATTTGTTAATCTTAAACTACTAGTATAAATTTCTTAGCATTAACAAATAAAGATTTGAATTGTTTAGATATAAACTATACTTATCAAGAGGACATTCTTATATATTTTTTTGATGGTTCAATAAAAAAATATATATAAAAAATTAAATTAAATTAAATCTTTAAATATTGAACTAAAAAAAATATTTAAAGCTCAATTCTAATACCTACTATTAATCCTTAAAAACACATCTAATGACTTATACAACAAATTTGAGCAGGAAATTAGTTCCTACAAATCAAAAAAATCGGGATTTAAGCATTACCAATATATATACACATAAATATATATATATATATATATATATATATAATGCTAATTCTTATCTCTATTTTAAGTAAAAAGATGTTTGATTTAAACTCATAGCTTTTGAAAGAAAAATGCTTGAATGGTTCATTTTGCAAAGAGGAATTGCAGTAGATAAGTAAAGAAGTTAAATAAACTTTAACATACATGATTGTTGCATTCTATGCATTCTTTGCTAGCAAAGAACTATTATATACAAAATTTAGAAATGCATACAAACAAAAGGAATCTAAAATTGTACCTTGTTTCTTCTAAACAACTTAGTTCTTAGATCCAAAATATTGGAAATTATAAAAAGATTCTTAAATAGCAACAAACAATTTTTGCATGTATATTTCTATTTAAAGTTTACTAACTTAACTCCATATTGCTTCTGATAGGATATTTATATTTATAGACTATTTGGCTTTTACAATATATATTTTGAAAAGTAACAAAGTAATGTCTATACTAAAAAAATGATGTGGACCAAGTTATTTAAATATAAGCTCATTTTATAAGGGATTGTATATTAAAAAAAAAAAAAAAAAAAAAAAAAAAAAAAAAAAAACAACCCAAGAATTGTGACATTCTTTAGACTATAGAACAAATTATGGATGATTTAAAATATGCTAGGTGTTAGAACTAACATAATAGTTAGATGGAATTCAAGAGTTCTATAATGTAACTTAATAATCTATGATAATGTAGTAGCATAGTCTAGATTGGATATTAACAACAATCTTAAGCTCTCATATGTGCCACTCACTGGAGGTATTAGAACACAAGTAGCTTTGTTTATATATCACAATAATTAATAAAAGCATTAGATTTATATGATTTATATAATATAAGAATTAAAGAATAAGAAAATGAAGCTCAAACTTAATTTGTAATATTTTATGGTTGTACAACCTCTGTAACCACAATCTAGTTTGCAACGAAATTAGTTGTTCAAATAAGAATAATATTTACTAAATAGAAAATGAAGTATCACTTTAAAAAGGAAAATTCAATGACAAGATTGTTATATTAGAAATATTTAAATATTATATCCAAACAAATTGAATTCATGTAATTGATTTGAATTAGACATGATATTTTTTATGTATATGTTGTACACATCAGAGTTCCAAATTTTGAAATTTATTGTCATAAAAGTTTTATTCATTGTTTGATATGTTTTACACAGAAACTTAGCATAAGTGCTACACATTTTATTTAAGTTCACTATTTCAAGTATTTAAATCCATCCCACTTCAATTTATTGGTGTTTTATCATGTAAGGTGCCTAAAGGCTTAGCATTCTTATCTTCTTGCATAGTACATTACAAATAATGAAAGTTCAAAGGCCACAATTTACCACAGTTGCAATACTTTCCCACTCATGTCTAACAGATAAATGAAGGCAACGATATGATGTAGTTTAATTGGGAAAGAGAATCAGCTCAAGCTTTTGCTACATGCGATAATACAAAGAAGTTGAATTTGCTCAGGGACATTGCACGGATGAGTTGAGGAAGCAGGGGAAAAAAGTCGACTATTCTGAGCACGATACAATCAGACGCCATTCAAATGATGAAGTGTACTCTTGAGGAGGTTCTATGAACTTGGTGATTCATGTGACAAAATACAAAGTGTGAATATTAGCCTGGAAGGATGTTAAATGCACGTCTCACCGCACACTCTCTCTTCTGTGGGAATCGCACAGTACAGCATTTTGCGGTCTCCATCGTTAAGGAATTGAGACTACTGTGTCAAGTGTAGGTACAGTACCAAAGAAAATAGGGATACTTGTTTTTCTCGGTTGTAGTCCTAGACCCCGACTAGACAGAAGAGAGAGGAAAAAATCAGCTCGAAGGGGAGGTAGCGAATTGAACATAACACCCCAAGTAATTGGCCTTGTCAATAACTGAGTCTATTCCTAGGAGCGCTGGCGATTCCTACCAGTCACTGCTGGCGAGTAATTGCCTTCAGGATGAGCATCAGCCCTGTGGCAGCCAATGCTCCAGTTGCAGTTGCAGCTGGCAAAATGTACTTGGTAGTATCTGTTTTCTTGTCAGATATATCCTTCGCCAGTTCCAGCTCTTTGTACATCTTTTCTTTCCTCTCACTTTCACATTTGGCGGTCTCTAAGGTTTCCTCCAGGGTCTTAACCTGGGATTGCCATGAGTTTACCTCCACAGACTTGTCCCTCACATGCTTCAGCTCCGTGAGTTCAGCGGCAAGTTCCTCACAGTTCGCTTGTGAAGTTGCGATTGTATCTTGCAGTATTTGAATCTTATCCGAAGAGGAATTCAGCTCAGCCTTGAGCTTATCGTTCTCAGCAGTAGCAACTGAGAACTTCGAGGAAAGGGCTGCAAAGTATTCCAGTGGATAGCAACCAGTTAGGACTACGATCACATATAAAATCATCTTTACACCAACTTTGAATATTTCGATGAGATTTCATCTAAAGCAACTCCAATCTTACCAGCACTTTAGACTCCTCGCATGCCATTGCTCTTCCCACCCGAAGTCCATGAACCACACCAAACATTAGCACAAAGATTCAGATAGGCAAGCATGAGAGGAATCGTACCTTGCTCATCTTCTTTATGTCTTTGAGCAGCCTTCTCTGCCTCGTGTCTTTCCGTCTGCAGCTGACTTTCCATAATCTCGACCCTGCTCTGCAACTCTTCAAACTTTTTTGTTAGTTCCGAGGTGTGAGAATCAAAAATTCCCTGCTCTATTTCGAGCCTTGCTGCGGCCTCCACTGCAGCAGCTTTAGCAGCGCTCAGCTCCTCTTGCAGACTTGAGAACCGGGTCTCTGATTGCTGGAACTTCTCACCAAACTCCCTAGACCTTGTAGCCAATGTTCCATCTGCTTCAGTTGCTCTCTTCCGACTGGCTCCCAATTCATCTTGCAATTGCAGAATCATATTTTCAAGGCGCTCCACTTCGTCACCAAACTCCTTAGTTTTAGATTCAGCCAATTCAGAAGCTTCTGCTGATTGTCGTTCCACCTTTTCAAGTTCCTGCTTTAAGGAACCAATAGTGGTTTCCAAGAGTGAAACTTTAGCCACCGCATCCTCTTGAATACTTTTCTCCTTTTCCAGAACCTTAGCAAGCTCGGACGACTTTTCTTTCGCATCAGCGAGCTCTGCACGCAATTCTGAGATAGTGGTGCTATGAGACTCTACCGCTGCGCTCAACTCTTTGCCTTTCAGCTCAAGGCTCTCGATCTCCTTGCAAGAAACTTCCTTCTGTGAGTGAGCATCTGCCAAAGTCCCTTCAAGCCTAGCATTCTCCTTCTTGAATGTCTCATTCTCGACCTCGAGCTCCTCAACGGCCTGTAAGAACGAACCACAATAGCATATTCAGCTTTCTTAAAAAAAAAAAACTCGCAACATACAATTTGTACAAAGACGTGCTATACTTCACACGATAAATAAAATAAAATAAAAAATTTAAAAGAAAAAAAAGAAAAAAAAGAAAGTCTAAGCAGATGCCTCGTGACCAATCAAGGACGAATTAAAAGAGAGTAAACAGGTAGAAAGATTCAAAACTTGGCTCATGACGAGAAAGGGATGAGTACCATCTTAGTCCTTGAAAGATCTGCATCAAGTCTTCGCAAGTTACTCTCCAGACCAGCTATCGTTTCCCGACCGGCAAGGTCAAGTCCTTTAAATTTCTCAAGCTCCTCTCTTGATTTCGAGAGAAAATCCTCAAGCTCCTTCTTCTCAGAAGATAATGCAACCTTCTCTTCATCTGCTGCGGATTTCTCGTGCAACAATCTAGAAGCCTCTTCCTTCAACGCCACAAATTCTTCTTCCGGAATCTGTAAATCAACGAGTGCCTTGTTTATTTGCTTCAGTGACTCGACCTCTCTCTCCAGAGCTTCTACTCTGTCTACAAAAGTCTGTTTCATCCTCTGAGCATCCTCTATCTCTACGCTGGATCTATTCAGGTTATCTTCCAATAACCTTTTCTCAAAAACGAGGGAGTCTTTCTCTTTGACCAGACCATCTCTTTCTTGGCTTAACTCTGAGACGTTTTCCCTAAGTCCCGCCAATTCTCGTTGAAACTCCTCAAGAGTCGACGTTAATGACCTAGCTTCTTTCTCCATAGTTTCAACACGTTCTTTAGCAGCCAAGGAACGCTTCTCAGCTTCCTCAAGCTCATGTGTAGTGTTCCTGATCTCCTGCTGCAGCCTTTCGTTCTCCTTTGTAAGGGTCTCTTTCGCTTGCAAAAGGGTAGTTTTATCTAGAGTCAAATCTTTGACATTGTCTTTCAAATTCATTTGCGACTGTCGAAGTTCCTCACTCTCGGCAGCGAGCGAATTCACCTTCTCCGTTAAAGAATTGATCTCGTCCTTGGCAGCACCAGCAGCTTTTTTGGCTTCCTCAAGCTCCTTGCCTAGTGAGGACAAGCGGTTGTTCTGATCTTCTTTCTCTAACAGAAGACTATCTCTCTCCTCTAGTAAGGATAACTTTTCCTCATTGAGCATTGAAGCATTTCGTCTTAACTCGGCCAATTCTTTCTGTAACCTCACCAGAGATTCAACCTCTTTCTCCAGAATGGCAACTCTTTCGTTTGAAGCAGTAGAAGACCTCTCCACCTCTTCAAATTCCTCTCTAGACTTACACACAGTTTCTTCCAAGCGCTTCTTCTCGGAGACAAGAGAATCTCTCTCCTCAATGAGATTAGAAAAATTTCCTCTCAAACCAGCCAATTCTTCACGCACCCTCTCCAAGGACTCCATCTCTTTTTCCAGAGCAATGATCTTGTCGTTTGCAGCAGAGGACGAACTCTTAGCCTCCTTAAGTTCGTCCCTAGATTGAGATACAGTTTTTTCCAAGTCTTTGATTTCAGAGATTAAGGAACTCTTTTCCTTCACCAGTGCGTCTTTTTCAACACTTGCAGTTGCAGCTAACTCCTTCAGTGCAATAAACTCAGTTTCTGATATTTGATGCTTGTTCAGCTCATCGGCTACGATAGGGCGTTCAGAAGATGGGACGACGGTCTTATCTTCAGACTCATTTGCCTGCAAACGCTCATGTCAGCTACTTGGGTTGCTGACGGGAACGGGCATTGAAAATTTACAAGTAATGATAAGTAACATTATGGAAGTCCTGTGCATGGAACAGAAGAAGCACTGATGCGGAAATTTATGGGAAGATTTAAAATGAAGGAGTAACAGCCACGAAAAATGCACAAGACACGTCATCCTTAGTATAGAAAATCAGTGTTTTGAGTAATTTAAGGGTTCTGAATTGCAAAATTTAGACAACAAACCGGTTGCCACCCAGTCAAACAGCGATATTCCTTGATCAAATTCAATATGTACTGGCGACACGAGATATGCAGCAGAAAGCCAGCGGTGTGAAAAAGAAGTGCACCACTTACCGTATTGATTTTCTCCTCTAATTGAGCCATCTTCTTTGAAAGAATGTCTTTATCAGCTCGAAGACTTTTGATTTCCTTCAAAAGTTTGTCATTCAAGTCGTGAAGGATTTGCGTCCTGGGACTTTCAGCAGGTGGAGCTGACTGAGGTTTGGAGGAGTCAGCACGTTCAGTCGATGCCTTACGTCTCGGAGAGGCCGACGGTCTCTCTGCTCCCCAACATTCTCATATCAGCTCAGTCTTTCTCGAGCGAAAGACAATCTTTGAACAAACTAAGTGCGAATGAAGTGGTGGTTAGTAATTAAGTTTCCAAAACTGAAAATATCCTATATATACAGCTTAAGTATGAAGTCTCGGAGGGTGGAATCTCCAGAACCAGCGACGAGGTAAAGAAGGCTCGAACAAGCACAGTCAATAGAAGAAATGAAAAGTGTCTAATATGAAGCAGAAATTCTCCAGCTATACCACCCAGAACCCAAGTTACACGACCACTCTTGTGAGGTCCAAAGTAACAACTTATAACAGTCAATTTGGAGGAAAGAAAAAAGATGTCTAATTATTGGCAGAAGAACAAAGTTGACACACCTGCGACACGAGGAGACAATGAGCGTGGAGACGCAGAGGCTTCCCAAGACACCAGACCGTTCTGTGGGTACCGAGGAGTAGAGTTGGTCGATGCCAAAGAATCGCCCTCATCTCCGCTAGCTCCATGGCTAGCTGGTTGACTGTTACTCTTCTCAGAATAGTTCGTCTCCACCCTGAGACCGCCAGTGCCCGCTTCCTGGCGAGGACTCATCGTCTTCTCATGAGTTTCAGGGTGTTTTGTCTTGTGTCGATTCTTCTTGTGATGATGTCCAGGCATTTTGACTGCGCACAAGTCCGTGCTCTCAGGTAATCGCGAAGATAGAATTACTGACACACAAATCCACCTGACGCTACACAATCCTTCTTCATTACAGGTTTCCCACACATAGAACAAATAAAAGGAACCAGCAGCATAGGGCAAAAGCGCAAAGAAAGCTGCGACTAGACAGCTTATAGTTGCGAGTTCCAACGACAGCACAGGTCGGCACACAATCCAACAAGGCATTAATAAAAAAATTAGACACCGAGTGAACAGTATCTGAAAGAGAGTCTGGACATGAACGTGTAAAGAGACCTGTCCACAATGTACCAAGAGGCATTCACAGCAATAATGAACATCTTCCATTATCATGTCCCTCTATTCCATTTTTCCAAGCGCAAATCTTGGGTGCTGGTGCGTGATACACACCCTTACTTTGTGCACCACGGAATTCTCTACCTCACGAACGCCTCATGAGAGTTCCATGGAGGACATGTCCAGCCCCAATGCAAACAAGATACAACACTCTCCTACAAAAAACACAAGTCTTCTCCAAACAAGAAAAGACCTGCGAAAAGAAAAACACGACGCACCTGCTGTACTTCGAAACCTGTCAGAAAAACGATTCGTCACCAAGAGTCGGTCGACTAACCACTTGTCTAGCTCTACAGACCTCAAAACGCACTAACTCCAAACGCAACCAAAAATTCTTGCTCTAATGCAGTTATTCGTCGCGCTCCACCGCACAGCTCGCCACTCAACGCGACGCAGCACGACACAGAACTCAATGAACTACACAACTACCTGCTCTCCAACAACTAATGACCACAAACACCTCTACTCAATCACGAATCTCTCTCTAAAGTTTAACACAACCTCCGAATTACCCCAAAGGCTCTCTCAACAACCATACCAGCCGAACTTTCAGCCCAAATTTAAGCAACACAGGGACAATTCACGTCATCCTAGGGTTCCCATTATCACCAAGGAAATTGAATATACGACCAACACACGTAATCCGAGAGTGAACGTCTGGGGGAGTGTAAAAAGCTTTACTGTTACGGTTCATGCGTAGCGAATCCGACGAAACCAGACTCCATCGCAACCCTTCGACGGCGAACCAGAAATTTTGAAAATCCGTAAAAGCCTAAAATGCCGTTTGCGTTCGCCCGTGGCGCCGACCCCACCACCACCATCCCAATCCCCGTAATTGCGATCATGGTTGAGATGAGAAATCGACGACGCAGAATCACGAACCAGCACCAGGAGATACAATCCGAGGGCGAAGGGAAGAAATGGTCCAAGTGAGGCCTTGAGCGCGGGGTTCGAAACGAAAGCGCGGGGTTGGAGAGGCCCCCTTCACCGCGACTCCTCCCTTCAGCGGGGCCATTAACCGCATCCACTCCCTATGTGCCACGTATACATAGGCTTTTATGCACGTCCACGGTGTTAGGGTAATTCAAGACAAACACTCGGGTCTTTTTGGTCGGCATGAAAAAGTCGCGGGGGGGGGGGGTAGTATCGCTCCTTTTGCTTTTTGTCCACCGGTAGGGTTTGGTTAATCTATAGAACATGGCTCCGCTTCGTCATGGGAAAAAGTCAATAAACTCGTGCCCTTAGCCTTTAAAGGTGCTTTTTATTTACCTTTAAAGTTGGCTTTACGACTTTAAACTATATCTCCTACTGGTGGAACTTATCATGTAGGAGCCTTTTCACACTGGTGGCATCACAATCCCATGAAGATATTCTCGATCACGTGAATAAAAATAATATTAAAACTGAAATTCTCCAAGTTTGCTATTAAATTAGGTCATATCAGTGTGGGTTCTTAACAATTAGTCAGACATCATGTTTATTCCGTTTAATTTGTATATTCCTAATAATATGTTTAGTAATATGTTGAAGGATTCCTTGAACGTGTATTTTTATTTTATTTTGGAATAGTTTGAAATCATTGGTTTGAATATTCTTTTGTTGCCTAAGTATTTGATATTGTTATTTTGTTTTGCTTTTGCATTGTACGTACAAAAGTGATGTGTATGTGAAGAAACTGATGGAACTCTCTGGTAGGTGGAATAATGTGTATGACAAAGGTGCTTGTTTATTTGCACTTCAGTTTTAAAGTTACATCATTAAAGACCAAACCCAAAACTTTCCTTAAGCATTTAACTTCATTAATTCTCCAAATTTTCATATATGTATATATTTTCATCCTTGCGTCTAAATTGTAATTTTTTTAATATATATTGTGTGAATCTATCTATCTATGTATATATATATATATATATATAAATGGTGTATGTCATTGTGTCTACAATAATCACTGATTGGCTGATTGGCTGATTGGCTGTACAACTTTTAAAGATTGCAATAGATTTTTGGTAACTTTTTTGGTAACTTTTTTGTAATACATTTTCATCACAAACACATCTTTCTTTTATATACAAATATGAATGATTTAAGGTTATTGCAATGGTTACACAATCATTTAGCTTGCTACATGAGCTTTTTCTAGTATGTATATATATATATATATATATCTGTAGAAAGGGAGAGAGAGAGAGAGAGAGAGATAAAGCTTTCCATGAAAAGTCAAAACATAAGTTTAGATCAACTTTAAGAATGTGCATTAACAAATAAAAAACAATTTTAGTTTGAGAGTTTTTAAGTATCTATACTTGCTTAGCAAAATATTTGTAGCTATAAACAGAATTTATTGTTCACGATCCTGGATGGTGATACAATAATGGAGCATAATTGATTACTTTGTAATAGCAACTTTAGAACAATAATGTAAGATCTTTAAGAATTATGTATAACTGGGATCATTAATATTTTGTAGAGGTCTTTTAAGTTTATTTCTTATTCAGATATACATACATATATATATATATATATATATATTAATGGTTACAGAACTTGAAGTGATAGGCAAATAGAAAAAAGATATTCACATTTGTCAATATGAATTTATAAAGATTAAATTTAATCAAATTTACCTCATTTATAGATATGCATTAAAAGTCATAAAGGGAAGGTTTTGAATAAAAGATCATATATTCATAAGTTATATATTCATAAATTTGTATGAAATCTTTTCAATACTTTCATATCTAAAATAAAATGAAATATATATATATATATATATATATTCTACCTAATTTATAATGTTGGTGGATGGAATTGTATTGTAAATTATGCAAAGTTGATTTTGAGCACACATGTCAAGATTCTTAAAATGCTCCAAGTTGACCTACAATTGCAAACAAACCCACTTGCATAATTTGCATATACCTAACTTCATTGCATGATTTATTACATGGTTATTTGATTGAAGAGATGAATAGAAGAAAAAAAAAGGATTCAAATACAAGGTTCATGTTGTGCAACCAATTGGTGTGATCCGAAGATGATAAGACACAAGTTTTGTTTGTAAAAGGTATTGCAACATAGTTTGAAGCTTTGATGTGATGCAGCATTTTGAAATAGTTATGAGTTTCACAATGCATCTCAAAGCATTGAGATTGAGTTGGGTTTTGAAGGACCATGTTGTAGAAGTGGGTGCTTCATATTAAAGCATCCTCCCTTGTTATGTACTAATCATGTTTTTAAGATCACATTGATTCTGTTTAAGACAGTGTTGTTTAAGTGCATTCCAAATGAAGTTCTATTATTTAGGTTGTTTAAAACATTTATGTATATGTTTACTTTGTATTGACAATACAAGATTATTTTTGCAAAATATTAATATCATGTTACTATTGATTACTGAGTATATGTATAAGATTTAAATGAATATCAGTAATTTATGATAGATTAAAATTATTTTATACATTGCATGATTGCTTAAGTGGAGGAAGGGGCTACTTAGAGTGGTCTTAAACACAATGATAACATTGTTATATTACTTGGTAGCAAAATCATTATGTAGAAATCAATTATAGTTTATATTTAAAGGTTTTGCACACTAAAATTTTGTAATTTTTATGCCCATATGCACGAATGACATACGAGGTTTGAGAATCAGAATTCTCGTTGACATCAGAAACTCATAAAAATCATAAAAACTCATAAAAATCACGATGAATCAACATTCCAAACAAAACTTAAATATTATATACAAAGCAATCATGCAATTTTCAAGTGTACAAAGTATACAAATGAATAAAATTAGATTACAAAGGTGACACCACGTTTGAGAGTGTATTGTTAATGAGTTAAAAAAAATGTATTAATAATAATAATAATAATAGGTATGTACATAAAGCTATAATGGTTGGTACTAGTCCAGCAGCAATCCAAGTAAAGTAAATCTCTTTAAATAATATTTATCTAAAGAACATCTTGTTATTCATTTTTACATTTATTTTATAAAAATGCATCATTAAATATTCATGTTGATGCTTTTCTGATATATATTTGCATATATATATATATATATATATATATTCACACACACAAGTGCTTTACAAGTTTTTAATTTTTAATTTTTTATAGTTTTTAAATTATGGTGAATAAACATTTTCCCAACATTTCTGCTATTGCAAGTAATTGTGCATGTTGACAATATCCTCTCATTAGTTAAAGCTTCGAAAAGACCTTGAAGAACCTTTTCCTCACTACAACTCTTTTCTTCATAGATGTATTTATTGTTCCCTAAATACTTATAGTTTTTTTTTTGTTTGTGTCATAAAATTTCTATATGAATCATATATATATATATATATATATTTATATTCTTGTCAATTTTATTATATGATTTTCAATGTGTTGCACAATTTTGTATTAGGGAAAGATATGTCCGGGGAAGCTTTAACTCATGAGTGGATGACAATACCATTACAATTACATTTTTAAGACTCAATTCTTACAAAAGGTGTTACATGGTACCTCCTTCATATTCATTGAATTTGCTTCTACAAAGCGAGGAACACATTTATTGAGGTTTTTAGTGCAAAGTTGTGCATCTTTTGGATAAAATTAGAGGTGATTGAGGGTATGGTTTAAATCTCCTTAGGTTTTGGTTTATAATCATGTATGTATATATTTGTATAATTGTAAATATTTTTTGGACATCTTTTAGGTGTGCAGTTAAGTAAGTGAAAGCTTTTTGAGTTATGTTGATGTGGTTGAGTAGCAATTCATGCACCTTGATATAGCATATCAGTTTTTAACATATTTTATTGTTTATTGTTTATGAAGGACAGTTCACGCTGCAAGATTGTGACCTGGATGATTTGATAAAAGAAATTAATGGCCACGGTTTTGTTGTTCTCCTGAGATTGGTAATCTAGAAACTAAACTATGATTCTTCACAACTTTTCTTTATATAATTTCATGATTTACTTACATAATTTCATAAGTTCGTAAAATCATGAAATTATACACGGAAAAAGTTGAACACAAAGATTTGAAAAGTTTTTACATCTCTTGCAAATATTTAACAAACAAAGAGAAGTGTAAATTCATGAAGTTCTTCTTCATAATGCGCTGGTTCTGATTGGAATGGTTAACCTCAGTTTTGTTTTGTTTTGTTTGTTTTTTTTTTTTTTTTACATTGTTATTGTTGTTATTCTTATTTTGAAAATTATAGCAATATACATATACATATTAAATAAGTAAGAATCATAACTTTTTCTTAAACAAATGCATTTGATTTTGGGTTTTTTTACAAGAAAAATAAAAACAATGATCAAAGGATAAAAATTTCATTTATTCAATCTATCACCATATGATGGATTTGTGATTTTCTTTGCAAATTAAACTTCAAATGTAACCAATAAAACCTTAAACATTTAAAAATAAGTTTAAATGCAAATTTTGAAATACCCTCAAAGTTAAATAGTGCATTGGAACTGAACACGTTCTAACAAATACCCAGTTTTGTTTTATTTTTTAAATTCTTTTCCCTTCAAATAAACCGGACATGAGAAAGTTACAAGTAGATTAAAAAAAAAAAAAAAAAAAAAAAAAACTATAATTTGGATGTCAATTAGGACAATAAACTTAATGAGTCCTTTTATTTATCAATAACATTTTTCTCACCCTACATCATTCAAATGATTGTATAAAGTTTTGGTAGAGATAGTGCTAATATATTTATTGGTACAAAACTAGTAGAGATATAGTATTTTGAGAGAATTATATATATATATATATATATATATAGCATTAACTTGTGTTATTAGGCACTAATGAGAAGGCTTCTTTGTCTTGTCTCGTTATATTATACCTAAGTTGTTTTATATAATTGATGATTATATATAGACTTTCATGTAGTTACTCAGATCAAATCATTTTGCAATAGTAATCATGATTCAAACCACCTGATTGTAAGCTATTTGATTCAAATATATTTTTGCACTTTAAATATATTTGTTTCATCTACCATACAATATCAAGTATATAAATGAATAGAAATTAATAGAAAAAATTAAAAAATGTGCAAGATCTAATATTAAGATGCACATAAATCTCAAGATTATAAAAAAATAAATAAATTATAGAACCCTTATATTTTTTGAATACCATTCAATATAATGGTCTACAAAAATTCCATATCTAATTAATCCTTATCAAAACACATGTGTCCAAATAAGGTTACTTGATTTTGATAAAAAGAAAAAAACAGAAGTTGCTTCACTGAATCTACAAAACATTCACTGTAGCAATCAGGTTACATATTTTGGAACACAAAAGCTACATATTTACAGTTGTAACAAAATTAATTCTATTAATTCCATAAATAGATTATTATTAATCTTCTTATCAGTATCTTTATTGATTTAGCTTTGTTACTGTTAAGATATATGCCCTCAAATCAATACTTGAATAAAAATAAAACTAAGTGAATTTGGTAAAAAAAATGGAATACAAAACTTTTTGGAAAATTAGAATTCATTCCAAAGACTTTTTATATTAAGTTATATTCTTTAAAATTTGAATTTTTTGAAAAGTATGACTTTAAAATAAAGTAGGTAATTTAAAAAATACTGAATTAATTATACATTAATATGTTTATATATTATTCTTCAAACTTAAGACACAATTGCTTCACCATAGATATTACAATCTATAATGAAAGCAATTTTGAGTCCAATTGCCTTTTACCTTAATTCAATTACACGTGTATATATTGTAAAAAGTTTATTAAACAATTAAATTTTTTGAAGTTTACATATACTTTAAGTTTCTCATATTCTTCAGACACAATCACTACAGGAGAAAGTTAAGCAGAGTCACTAATTTGATTATATATGAATGTTTTGATTTACACTAACAAAAAAAAAAAAAAAAAAAAAAAAAAAAACTCCATGACACATTTGATGGGTATATAAGATAAAATTATTTGACATATAATAGTATTTTTTAATTTATTAAAAAAAAAGTGATTATATATATATATATATACACACAAATAAAAGAACTCACCCCTATGAGATTTTTTGAGTTTTAAAAATAATATAAGATACAATAGTAAATAATACACTATATATATAGAAAGATAGATAGTTGTAATTTCATGACTTATTATTAATTCTTGCACACGGATATTTATTATTTGATTAAATTGTCTAATATTTATTATAATACTCAATTACATTGAAAATACAACATTAAATTTGAATATGCTACAATGGAATTGTAAATTTTAAAAGCATCTTTCTGTATTATTTTTAAAAATTAAAAATATTAAAATACCATATTTTTAATTTTGATGCAAATATTTTTTATTTTTAAATTAAAAATAATGGATAAATATTTTTACAATTGTATTAAAAGGTATGCATGGTTAAAATTAATACTGAATTGTGTCTTATGCTTTGTTTAGAGATAGTCCTAAATGCTATTTATCTTCAATATTTAATTAGTAAAAATAATAACTTCAATCATCTAAAATTTTACAATTTAATTCATAAGGATAATTTGTTTTGATTAATTTTTAGCTGATTTTTATAGCTATAGTGTGAAAATTTTACTTAAAATATCATAATTATGAAAGAAATATTTCATAAATAATTATAAGAATTTGCAATCTTAAAATTTCGTTGAAGAAAAAAGACAATTTCAGAAATGTTACCATATATATATATATATATATATTGATCAGAGGGATTAAAAGATAATTAACTATATTGTTATAAGAACTTTCATTCTTATGAAAAGAATACATAGCATACTCAGAAAGATTAAATCAAAAAACTTATTTGTGTCTAATAAATCATGCCATATTGCATTTATGTACGTATGTATTGTAAATGTACTTGTAAAAATTTAAAAATATAAAAAGCTCTACTGTAAAAATTATATATCTAATTGATTCATACCAAAGCACATGTGAGCATAAAAATGCCATTATGAGCTTAGTAAAACAAATCCCATATTAAGAAATTTTAATGCATATGTATTTCAAATTTTGGATTAAAATAATATTGGATAAATATTTTTACCATTATGTTGAAAAGCATGTATGGTTATATTTAATACAAAATTGTATCTTATGCCTTATGTAGAGATAGTCTTAAATGCTATTTATATTTATTATTTACTTAGTAATAATAATACCTTCAATTATTTACTATTCACAATTTAATATCTAAAGATAATTTATTTTGAATAATTTGTAGCTGATTTTTATAGCTTTAATGTGAAAATTTTACTTAAAATATCAAAATCATGTGAGGAATGTTTTATAAGTAATTTAAAGAATTAGCAACCTTAAAATTTCGTTGAAGTTAAAGTCAACATTAGAAATAAAGCCATACATACTTATATGATCAAAGAGATTAAAAGATAATTAGGTTTATTGTTATAAGAACTTTCATTCTTATTAAAGTATATATAATACACACTCACATATATATATATATATATATATATATATATATATATATTTGTGTATAATAAATCATGCCATATTGCATTTATGCACATATGTATTGTAAAAACTTTGAAAATATAAACTAAAATTAATTGAAAATTAGAAAATTCTATTTTAAACAAAAGAAATTAGTATATATTTTTAGAATTTTAATAGAAATTAAGTGACGCTTATCTTATTATTATTATTATTATTATTATTATTTTCTGAAATTTATTAAGCTATTTTGATACTTTTTTTACATTTGAATTTTATCAAGCACAACCTTGTTAGAATACATTTCTAAAATTAAGTTCTACTGTAATTTTAGTTTTTAAAAATTCTATATATGTGCTTATAGATATATATATATATATATATATATATATATTCTCAGTCTAATACATTTTTTTAATCAAATTTTTTTATAGAAATATAAAAAATAAACTAAATATAAAGTCATGTTTGAATTATCCCACAATGTTAATGACACATATTTTCAAAGATATTCCAAATATATAGCAAATATAGAGAATCAATTGGCTCATTTTATTTTATTATAAATTAATATATCATTAAAATTTTCAAAATATATGAAATTCTATACTTTATTTTAATTTTTAATTTTTAATTTTCTTTTTATCTTTTATTCTATAGAACTAACAAAACCAATGTAAGAAAGAAACTCCAAATGTTGCATAAATATTGCAATCATACAAACAACCTTTGTGAATATAGTGCAAGTAGACAATAATTGATTATTTCAAACAAAAAAGTTGCAACAACAACCAAGTTATATGGCTCACAAAGGAGAGCATAGTAAGAGAAAATAGAACCACAACAAAACAAAAAATAAAATAAAATAAAAAACACTGATCTATGTCATAATTGCTAAGGCAATCTAGCCAACGATACCAGACCATGATTGCAAAAGTGACAATTATTTTTTTATAATTTAATATATTAAGTCTCAAACAGAACAAGGCCTTGAATACTATATATATATATATATATATATTGTTTTCTTGTTTGTAAGACAATATATCTGAGTGCAAATTCACCTCAGAGTCAAATATTTTAAAGAAACGAACATGATTGTTATTATTTACAACGAAAAGTTCAAAGTTCAAATCTTTCAAGTGATAAGATTCATGAAGATGTTTTTACTATCAAAACCTTTTACAAAATAACGTGCACACCAATCATAGTATATCATTTGCATTTAAAAAGTAAAACATTTTCTTAACAATGTTCTAATTTTCAACAAAAACAACACCACACCACAGCACGATACAAAAAAAATGTAAAAATCAAAATACTGAACAAAATTTTCATTTCAACTACCCATAAAAATGCAATAAAAACATTGATTATATTTGTTCTAAAAGAAACGCATTAGACTCCATGAAAAAAGTGATTGATTGAAAAACCTATCCAACTACACCAATTGCTCAACACCAAAACACACAAGCAACACTTCTTAATCCAAAGTACAAAGAAAAAACGTTTTCACAATGAATCATATATACATACATGGATACAACCCATGTCACACAACCCACTCACAACAACGAACCCCAAAGCGAGAGAGACCATGGGAACATAATACACACACATACACTCACACACACTTACACACAACGCATCTAATTTTTGAAAAAAGAAACACACACACACACAACAACAACAATCTGAGGGAGGAGGAGTGCGGATTCCCCGAGACACGGAAGACTGTTTCGCTTGGAGGAGGAGGAGATTGCGGGACGATTTGATGCAATTGGCGATGGCACGAGTGAGCAATCTATCAATCAAGCAAGCAAGAAAGCAAGAAGGGATCGGAGTCGCGAGGAGGAATCTGAGGATCGGACTCATTCGGGGAGAGTTGGAGGGGGGTGGGGGTTAGGAAGAAGCGAAGCCACTTATAAATGCGTGAAGCTTGCCCCAGCGTTGATTTGATTGATGCCCCCATAAGTTGATGCACGCACACAAACAAGCCAGCCATCGCAAATGAAAGCCAAATAGCAGCAATAGTAGTAGTTGTAGGAGGAGGAGTGGTACGAGTAGGAGGAGGGGGCCTGCTCGGAGGAGGACGCTTTGGCGCCGGATGTCAATCGTCTTTTGCCAATCACCATGAGTTGACGTTTGTCGTTTTATTTTATTTTTTGGGGTATTTTATTAACTTATTAATTTATTTCCAGTTGCTCCGTCTAACAGTGATCTTCACTGTTCAAATTAGTGTCGCCGATTCTTTCGCTGGTAGCGAGAGAGAGAGAGAGAGAGCGAGAGAGGGACTCTGCACGCGGAGAGCTTTCTGGGTTTCAGAGTCTCGTTCTGGCCATGTGAGCAATTGCTCGATTTTGTCGCAGTTGGGGTGGTGTGGAGTTTGGGCGGGGGGAGAGTTGTGTGAAGAGTAAGTGGTTGCGATGATGTTGGGTTGGTTTCGGACGATGGCCGTTTCCCCGGAGGACGTGGTGTCACGCGGTGGGTGAATTAGTTGTGGGGTGTTGGGAATTTGAGGGCGACTTGGGAATTGGAGAGAGGCTGGGGTTTGTTTAGGGAATGGTGAGCGGGGGAGGCGAAATGAATCTCGGCGATGATTGCATGGAGATGGATTCTGTCTCTGGGGCGTATTCGGCTTCAACTGACCTGGCGCGATCTCTAGCGTCGTTGTCTGTGGTGAAGCAGGAGCGAGGTGGAGAGCAGCATCGCGAGAAGTCGACGTTGAATGCGCATCATCCCTACGCGGGGAGGATGGATGTTGCGGAGGCCTTGGACGAGGCGCTCTGGAGTAACTTGCCGGAACACCTGCATGACATAATTTTAGCATTTTTGCCTCTGCCGAGCTTTTTCCGGTTACGGTGTGTGTGCAAACGCTGGAATGAGATCGTCAATTCCAAAAATTTCCTGTCGATATGCTCTCGGGTGCCGTCGCAAGGATCGTTGTTCCTCATGTTTGCAGACATGCTGCAGCAAAAGTGTGCAGCCTACGACCCCACGTCGCAGAGGTGGCATATGTTGCCGCCCTCGTACTTCCTTCCCTGTCCCTATTTTGAGTCGATTGTCGTGGTGGCCACCGCGGGAGGATTGTTGTGCCTTGAGGGAAGAACAGGGTCTCAGAATCGATATCTTTCCGTGTCAAATCCCATGACGCGGACGCAGCGCAAATTACCTCCCATGTTGCACATGAAATCTCCATACGTGGTGGGCATGGTGATGGACCGTGAGCATAGATCGTACAAGATTCTTGTTGTTCAAGATGGGGAAAGCTTGACATCTCAGGTGCTCCTCCACTTGCATCTCCCTTATTACTGCCACTGCTTCTCTATAGTATAACTAATGCATATCTTGTGGAATTTCGATATTTCTGTCACCCTAGGAAGGTAATTGATGTGTAGGTTTGCCTTGAAGCCACATTGTTATTTTCTTTCCGTTTCCTTTTTCTATTTTAGACAACTATGGTCATCGTTGTAGATTATTTATTCATCTACTTGAATCAGGCCAAAGGAACTTGAATGAATTTTTATAGTTCAATTTGTGCTCATGACTTTGCTTTGAAGACTTTGTGTGTTTCTCGGATTGGATCACTCCATGTTTTTTTGGGTATACTTAACTTCACTTCAGAGACCTCTTATGCACCTTCGGCGGGTAAATCCATGTTGCGACTAACTTAACCAGTGGCTTGCGACAGGTTTATGACTCTAGAAGCAACTCCTGGTATTTGACGAGCAGCCTTCCCAGCAGGGTTGCGCTGATCACAGGGACGGCCTTCATAAACGGCTATCTGTACAGTATGAGTTTCGGAGCAACAACTGGAGTATTGGCTTTTGATGTAAATAAGGGAACCTGGGATCAAGTGAAAGTCAAAATGCCGCTGGCTTTGATCTGCCCACAGCTGATTGGTCACCGAGGTCAGCTTCTGATGGTAGGAGGCGTGGAAGAGTATGGGAGTCTCAGAAGTGTGCGCCTGTGGCGTTTGGATATTACCAGAAGTGAATGGGTGGAATTTCAGTGCATGCCGGAAACACTCTTCAACAGGCTGTTCAAGTAAATCTCTTAAACTTTGACTTTTCTTCCTTAAAAGATTTTGAATTGTGGTTGTCATAATTGAGGGGCCAAATGCAAAGATGCATCAACATATATTTGGCATCCATAACCGGGATGAATTTTCATATGATTTTTTACTTCTGCAATATCTCAATGAAATCTTACCCATCACAGTAGAGACAGTAGGGATCGCTGCATCGCAACAACTTTGTCAAAGGGGTTGATCTCAGCAGAGTTTGTTTGGTTCTGGCATTCTGGTCTCTTAACAAAGTAAGCAATTTCCTGCCTGTTTGTAAACACACTGTAACTGTGTTTTTATCCGTGGCACTCTCACGGTGTCTAATTGTGATATTTATTTTTGCAGGTCTCGACGTCACCAGTTTTTATGCTTCTCACATGGAGACTATGTATGCTTCACAGAGTCATCCTCCCGGGAGATGCTCATGTACGATATGTATCGAAACGCATGGTGGTGGTTGCCTGTATGTAACCTAAACAATAGCTCGGAAGCACGAAGAGTTCTGGGATTCTCCTTTGAACCTCGTTTGGATGCCCTTGTTTAGGTGGATTCCATTTCGTCAACCTCTTGTAAGCTAGGATTCCAATAAGCCCAATCTTTCTGATCATTTTTTTATTCATATTTCCCAGCTAGCTCTACAAAGGGCACTTGGTTGGCTTTTGTGTTTACAATTGTTAGCGGATGGTTAAATAGTGAACGGATTTCGCTCAGAATTAGGTCTCTTGCCTTGACTCTTGCCTTGACTCTGGTAATTTGTAAGTAGATTTGCTTGATTGCAGAAACCAGAAGGTTTAAGACTTGAAGGCAGTGAAGAGCAGTTCAAAAGGTCGTTTTGGGATGTAGCTATACGGACCTTGCCACATTTGTTACACATCAGATAGGCACCACTGTAGATGGACAATAGGGTAAAAATACAATCCCTCAAAATCAGTAGGTATTCTTGTAACAACAATGTCCTGTCTTGTTTGTTCGAAGTTATATGGAAACACTGAGGCCAAACATCAATATAGGTCAGTGGATAAATTTATTTAATATCAAAAAGTACAGTATTTTTGCTTGTCAAATTAATCTATGTTCATATTTTGGAAATCAAAAAAGAAAAAGAAAAAGATAAAAAACCATCAAAATTTGGATGATGAAGTTAAGAAAATACTTAGTCTTGCTACATGGTATTTTACACTTTACACCAAATTATATATTATACCAAGATTTTAGAAAAATATAAAAAAAATCTCAAGTAATCTTGCCTGGATAAATAAATTCAAATCAATACAAAAAATAATGTTTTATTATTATTTAATAAAAAAAATGAACAAAAAAGTGGAATAGATAAAAGTATATTGTAATTTTTTCAAGAACATTTTATAACGTTTATTAAGTTCTTGAAGTAGAAAATTTATGTATATTCTTTACTATTCATATAATAGATAATCAGCATACAATTTGATTTATTGTTTATTTATTTGAAATTAAAATTTTAAAAATATATATCTTATAGAAATAATATCAATATTATTAATGCTATGATAATATCAATATTAGTAGATTTAACACTTGGCTTGCCAATATTGAAATGCTTTTAGATTCAATTAATAGAAAAATGTCTAGCATTGGATAAATATTGACACTTTATATAAGAATTTATACTATTTGAATTCTAATCTTTAATAACTAAAATATTGATAAGATTTCTAAAGAGATGTTATTCAAATGCAAGAGTCATAACAAGATTTTACATAGAGTTTATTAAAAAAAATCTTCAAAATATTAGCTTAATTAAAATTTTATCAAAATAAGCAAGCTAGGCAAAACATCCTATCATGGTGGTTTTAGATAGTATAGATTTATTTAATTATTGTCTAGCCTATGCGCACAATGATAGCAACATAATTATAAACTAAATTATGGTTTAATCTTACACTTGTGTAGAAATTATAAAATAGTGTATAAAAGTTAGAAAAAAAATTGAAATAAAACATACAATATATACTTTAATAATAAATCAATTAGAAAAAAATAGGTTTTTTTATTAGAAATGTATCTTATAATTTAATATCAAATTTTATTTTATTTTTCTAAATCATAATAAAAATTTTAATATTAAAATAATATACATTAATAATTTAGCACATCTCTTATATAAAACAACTTATGTATCAGATAAAGACATAGAGAAGCCTTCTCATTGGCCAAATATGGATGAACATAGGTGAACAAGGCAATGGGTGCATGGTGGTGCCAAAGATCATAGTGCCCAACAGCACAAGACTTGGCTAGTATATAATAATTTAAAAAATATTGTAATAACTAAAAAAAACAAAAAAAACTACATGCTATAATTTTCAACTTGGAAAAAAATTAATATTCAAATCTAATAAATTTAATCAAAAAAATTAATTTAAACACACTAAATATAAATTTCAAATTAAAAATATGATATATTAATTTTTTAAAAATAAAAATATAATAAAATTAAAAAATATATAAAGATAATAAGAAAATATAAAATTAAAGATTATATTTAAAATTATTATTATATTTTTTGAAAGAATTATATCATAAAATAAAAGCATTAGGTATTTAGATCTTTATTATTAATTAAAAAATTAACACATAAAGCATTCTATAAAACAAAAACCATCTTGTAATAAGGATGATAACTATTTTACTATATACAGTAGTAAATTTTTTATAAATAATTGTAATTGATGTTCAAAAAATTAAATTTAAAATAATTATTATTTTAATATAATTTTTTTATCAACTTAATTATTATTTTATAATACGAATTAAAAATTTTATTTTATTACTTTTATATCCTTAAAATACAACAGCTTTAGTAATGTAATGCAATTTAATGTATTAAATTTTTAAATTAATATTGATACAAATTATAGAATTTAATGTATGTTATTTTTTTTTCTATAATAAATTTTTCATGAATTATTTACATTAAAATAAACATCTATTGATATTTGTTTGTATTACACATGGTGTTAGAATAGATTTAATAAGATTTTGTTGTGATAATTCAGAACTTATATTTTTTTCAAATTGCATTGTTTGTTTTATCAATTTTTTTTTTATTTATTCTTTTTTATCTTGATTAATTTCAAACTAAAACATATTCGAAAATTAATCTTTATTGTAGATTTTTACAAAAAACAAAATCTAAAATTCTATTTTTTTTTACAAATTACAGTCCATTTATATTACTGCCGAATTTATAATTTACAAGGATGCTAAGGGGGAGTATTTAGTGAACTATTTATAAAATTACATAGGTAAGAAGATAATTCAATTGATTTAAGCTCTAGAAGTTATGAATAAGAATATATCCTTTAAAAAATATCAAAAAAAAAAATTAAATGAATAAATAAATTTACAACAAAAGAATCATTTTAAATGTGGAAATGTTTAGAGACCATAGAAATATACAATACACTTAAAGACTATTAATTAAAGTATTATCAAAGATTTTAAAATATAACTAATAACTACAAAACAATCAATTTTAGAATTTGATGTATTAAAACATTGAAGTTAAAACTCTATAAATTAGATTGGTATAATATTTAGAATTATAGATTATATCCTATGCCTTTATTTAGAATATATTTTTAAATGTTGATTTTAGAAAAAATTATTAAAATGAAGAAAATAAAAAATGTATTTTTTAGATTTGAAATATGAGTCAATTTTTTAATCTTTTGCTAAAAAGTTTAGTATTGTGTATTAGAAAAAATCATTGACAATTAAATTATTCTAAAGCATTTGTATGTGATGACCTTGTTTTTATTTTAACGTTTTTAGTTTCTCACTATAAAGCTGAAAGTATTTGGTATTTTGGCACTTAAATTTTGGAACTAAAATAATATTTTAGTTTTCTTTGTTTTTATGTTAATTGATCAAAGTTGAATAAGATGTCTTTTTAAGAACAAAACAAGAATCTTCAACATTTTTATCAATTTTAACTTAAATTACATGGTTTTTGATGTTTCAACAAAACACAATTAATTCCATTATTTCCATGTACATTATTATAATTTAATTGAAGATTATTCACAATCCCTTGAATAAATTCTTGATTCTAAAGACCAAGATCCTATATCAATCAACTATTATATAACTTTTAAGATTATTGCTTAGGTTTATAGAGAAGCAATTTTTGATTGGCTAAGTCTTCCAAATGAACTCTTTATCAATAAAAACAAAGTTGTGAATTCTATTTTGAATTGAGAATGTAACAAAAAAATAAAAAATATTAAAATGAAATTGGATACAATACACAAACTTTGTAACTAAGATAAAAAGACAACACACTTTTCTAAAAAGAGCAAGAAATTCTTAAAGTAATTATTACAATAGAAAGGACTATGACAAACTAAAAGATTGTAGCTTACATTACAAAAAAAATAAACTTCCTTTTCTTTCTCTTCTAAAATTTATTCTAAGATAAGATTAATCCAAGGAAGAAAAAAATAAAATAAAATAAAATAAAATAAACTAAATCTAATTACACCCAACATGAAAATAAATACAAGATCTACAAATGTATCTATAATATTAGAAATTGGACACATGAATTATAACAAAGGCAATAATATCTACCTACAATGCCAACTTAGAAGACCACAATGCACACATATGCAACAATATCCTTACTACATCATGAAGAATTTAAATTTATTGATCAAAATTAGATTAGATTCTACCAAATTTAATCTAGAAATTCCAATTTCAGTTAATGTTAAGTTATTTAGGCTAGTCAACCAATTTTGATTAGATAAGTTGGGATGCTTAACTTCAAATTTGTAGTAACAAACATTGATGTGCATTCAATTGCACATGTATAAAGTTGTACATATGAAAGAAAGATCCACTAGTACAAGTTAAATACTTGTTATATCAAACCTTTAAGTGTCATGTTTTATTTTAATATAAAGATTCCACTTTTATATAACCAACAATGGACTAAATTCTATACATAGACACCATCTTATAAACCAACTAAACATTCTACCTCCACATGTTCTGCCAAGTACTACTTGAGAGAAGGAGCATTGAACAAAGACAAAATCCTTCTTTTAACATGTCTTATTAGATTTTGGAATTCCGTGTGACTTAGAAAAGCACCATACTCATTTGGTTTTAGAATCAAATCCATACAAAAGAAAAATTGACTTATTCAACACTATTTAAAATATTGAGTTTTTATTGGGTTTCACTTGGACTACCCTCCACACGCTAAGAGTAGACATACTTAAAAAAAATTAAATATACCCCAAATACTCGAATTAGATGGATATTTACCATAAATATTCATCCTCACTAGATCCTAAACTTAAGATTATTACTCACTGACCACAAAGACATTAGCTTCCAATAACTACCTCTTCAATGTCTTATCCAGATACAACTTCGATGCGAAGCGAGGCCTAGAAACCATAAAACCTGTACAATAACTCCAAAGGACTCTTCCTCAGGATGTGAATTGGGCAAGACACGACGGTGTCGGCAGCAAAACGTGTTCAAGCCGACAATTATCTACCCGCTCAGATGAGAAGTTGAGTCTCACGCACAAGGCGTCATAAAACTCCTACATTGAATGGAAACATTTTGGCCATCAAAGTGTTAATATACAAAGGGAATTACTAAATCGACCCACCCCGCACAGTTCACATCTTTGCAAAGATCCTTGGACTTTATTGCCATAGCATGAATTCAACTTTATCGATTTTGAACGTGAGCATCTTCGGTGGAACTGAATATAAAAGAAATAAAGTCGTCACGATTGAGAAGAATATGTAGAATACGGAGGGGGATGGATCGATTTAGAAAATTCCCTATATGAATTCCATAAGGAATATGACTACTATTGTTCTGCACAAAGCCACGAGAACCATCCCATAAACTCAACCGACGACCATAAAATATAATAGCTGAGTTCATCATCACCAGGAGTTAAGAAATATAATACATCAGAAGTGCCATGAATTACCGAAAAGTGAAGCAACGCAAAAGCTTTGTCACACTGAACTCAACATGCAGAATGGTCAACATCACGCAGCAGTGATGAATTAGAATCACATAATTAGAAATCACAGTCAATTATTTCTAGTAGATCACATACATTTAGGTGAAAGGCTACCGCGCTCCAGTGGGTATGATAGATCCTGATGGCAATGCTGAAGACGCTCGTCTCCATTGTCTAAGCCTGGGTCTGTAAGAAAATATGAACGTGTGCAAAACTTGAAGCAGACAAACAATTGAGGAGATCCGTAGAAAAATGAATCACTCATCAGTCACGCAACCTTCGGACGCTGATTTGACATTCTTGATGTACTTGTAAAGGGTTCCACGAGAGGCCTTGTAAGGGGGAGCTCTCCACAGGAGTTTTCGATCCGCAAGCTCTTGTGCCGTCAAATCGACGTTGATTTTCCTCTTCTCCACGTCGATGGTGATCACGTCTCCATCACGTACAAGCCCAATCGGGCCACCTACTTGAGCTTCTGGGCAGATGTGCCCAACAACGAAGCCGTGAGAGCCACCAGAGAATCGACCGTCGGTCAGAAGCGCTACTTCCTTGCCAAGTCCAGCTCCAATTACAGCACTCGTGGGGGTGAGCATCTCAGGCATGCCCGGGCCACCCTTAGGACCCTCCCCTCGGATAACGATCACAGTACCCTTCAAGCTCTGAGGGTCCTCAGTGATAGCGTCCAGCATGGCTTCCTCTCCCTCAAATACACGGGCGGGGCCAGAAAAGTACAAGCCTTCTTTGCCTGTAATTTTAGCAACGGAACCCTCTGGAGCAAGGTTGCCCCACAGAATTTGCAAGTGACCAGTTTTTTTGATGGGGTTTTCGAGAGGCATGATGATCTTCTGACCTTCGGAGAGGGGCGGGCACTCAGCGAGGTTCTCAGCGATGGTCTTCCCCGTGACTGTCATGCAGCTCCCGTCGATTAGCCCTTTTTCTAACAAGTACTTCAGTACGGCAGGCACGCCTCCAATTTTGTGCAAATCCTCCATCACGTACTTCCCGCTAGGTTTAAGATCAGCAATGAACGGGGTCTTGTCGCTCACGTCCTGGAAATCGTCCAATGTGAGCTCAACGCCCACAGAACGAGCGATGGCGATGAGATGAAGCACCGCATTCGTGGAACCTCCGAGCGCCATGACAACCACCATAGCGTTGTTGAGCGACTTTCGGGTGATAATGTCACGCGGCTTCAAGTCACGCTTTAGAAGCTCCAGAATGTATTTCCCGGCCAATTTGCATTCCTCGATCTTCAACGGGTCCTCGGCGGGGATGGAAGAGCTGTACGGCAGCGACATGCCTAGCGCTTCAATGGCGGACGCCATGGTGTTGGCGGTGTACATTCCTCCACAAGCTCCGAATCCGGGGCAAGAATTCCTTACAACGTCCATCCTCTCATCCTCGGAGATGGACCCGCTCACATACTCTCCGTAGCTCTGGAAGGCTGAAACGATGTCGAGCGTCTGTCCGTTAAAATGACCTGGCTTGATGGTGCCCCCATAAATCATAATGCTGGGCCTGTTCAGCCGCCCCATGGCCATGACCACCCCGGGCATGTTCTTATCACACCCCGGAATGGAAATGTTGGCGTCGTACCACTGCCCGCCCATAACAGTCTCCACACTGTCCGCAATCAAATCGCGCGACTGCAGGCTGTAGCACATCCCCTCGGTTCCCATGGACACGGCGTCACTAACTCCCACAGTGTTGAATCGGAACCCCACCATCCCGGCCTCCTTCACCCCCTCCTTCACAGCCTCAGACAAATGCAGCAAATGCATATTGCACGTGTTGCCCTCGTACCAAACCGACGAGATTCCCACCTGCGGCTTGTTCATATCCTCCTCGGACAACCCCACCCCGTACAGAATCGCCTGCGAGGCGCCCTGCGCCTTAGGCTGGGTCACGCGGCTTGAGTACTTGTTCAGCTTCGCGCTGTCCGTGGCGCTCCCAGCCGGCGCCTCCACGGACTGCGGGGGCGGCGCGGCCACAGCCCCTTCCGCGCTCGACGACGCCACCACCATTCCTCGCCATTCCTTCTTGCTCCTGGTCAATTTCTTCGACAATATCAACAATGGCTGGTTCTGGGAAGCAGAGCTCAAGCTCGCGCTGCTGGCGAGGGAGAAAGAGGACGGCAGCCCGTGCAGGCCACGGGCAGCAGCAGAGTGCAGCAGGGAGGTCGCCATAGCCAGAGCGTGCACAGCAACAGGGGAAAGAGAGAGTAGAACAGGATATGAGACCCTGGCTTTCAGAAGGGGCTCGGGGTTCGGGGTTTAGGGTTTACGGCTACGCTTGCGCGGGTGGGGTGACGTGGGCGACAGGTTTCCTAGCCCCCGGAAATGGTGCATCGCCCGCTTTCCGGCACACGCCCGCTCTGCGAGCCTTTAGCCTTTTTCAATAAATAGCGCTTTTTTTAGAGGGTACAAAAGAGCAATTGCCAATGGATAACATCATGGTTTTTTTGTGGGACTTTTTCTTACTCTCGGTAATTATTTGTATGTATTGGTTCTTATTAACCATGTTTTTATGTTGAATATTTTGATGTTTTATAATTAGCGTTTATTATATAAAATAGTGTATACTAAAGTGGCTTAATTAATTAGTTTTTTTTAGTAGTAGAATGCAGAGTGATGTGATTTTTTTAGGTTGAAATAGGGTATATCACCCTAATTTGATTATGACTTTTGATTTATTTTGTTTGAAAAGGGGGAAAGTTTGATATTGGATACTCATGAAATTTGACTGTGATTCGAACATGTACAGAAAATTGTTTTGGTTGATATGATTTTGATATGTCCAGTTATTAGAAATTGATGGTGGAACAAATGGTTTGATAGAAATACAAGTAAAACAGAAGCTTCTTCTGGTGTGTGTATGTAGGTATAGCATGAACATTGATGACAGTCAATGCACAATTTTAAAAAAAATAAAAAATTAATGAGTATATTTTAAATAACTCAAATGGTGACAAAGAACTAATATTATTTACATAAAGTTTCAGTGTACTAGAAATTTAATCTACTTTTTAAAGTATAAACAAAACAATTGATATAATTTTTATGATATAATTTTTATGTGAAAGAAGTTTATAATTTTATTTTGGCTGAATGTTGTAAGTTGTGTTTGTGACATGCAATAGTTTAATATTTATGATTATCTTTTATTTCTATATATATATATATATATATATATACTAACTAGAACAATTAACTAAGAGCAATTTCAAAGAATTGATCCAATAGAGAAAGAAAATAATATTGATTTAATAAAAAAATTAAAGACATTATTGTATTAATTTGAATAACTCACTAAATTGTCTTTCTTTTAGTACTTTGGTTTAAATCAAGTTATTGCTATCTTTGTTGAAGTTGAATTGTAAGTAGTCCAAATCAACTAGTGGTTAGTGCAAAACTCTTTCTAATATGAATTTTATCTACAACTTGTCAACTTTGACCCAAGTAGGATCATTTTTGAATTAATACTAACATATTAATATTTGACAAGAAGAATTAATACCTAGTGTTAATTTAAAATAGTCACACTTGTTTTCCAAATTAAAGCTAAGTTTAGAGAGAAGTTTCCAATCCATTGTATTTTGGACTTATTAACATTAAAAAGACCAAAATGTGGACTATTAAATCTTTTGCATGATAAATTTATCCTTTTTTTTGGTAATATATATTACTAACTTATATAATTCTATTAACGAAATTGCTATCTAATCAATGTATAATCCAAGATTAATAATATATAAGGCATAAATTGGTTAGAAATATACAAGACTTTTAGCACCTTAATTTTTTTTTTTTTTGAATTTTAATTCAATAGATATATTTTTCATCATTATTATTGAAAAAACCAAAATATATATTATATTTATTTACTTTCAATCAAATATTCAATCAATATAAATTTTTATAATTCATTATATTTAACTGCATATAATCTCTAATATTAAGAACTCCTCACAATCATGATTAATTAAACCCAAATATTTTAAAAAATAATAAATATTTTTATAATTTTTTTATAAATATTTTAATTAATTTTATGCACATTATTATCTTTTTTCTCTTTAAATTAAATTATATGCAATAGTTAAAATTTTATATAATAGTACTTTAAACATGTAATGATACTTAACTCCATAGGATAAGTTTTAGATATAATATTAGCATTAAGTAATTTTCTTTGACTTTAGTAGATGAAATGAAGTAAAATTGGCTTATTGTGTACCTACTATAATATAACATTCTAAAGATAAGAACTCATAGAAGCTATGGAAACAAGTGAGATAAGTAACAAAGAGAGATAACAAAATGATAATAAGAAAATATGTGTATTCAAGAAGAAATTGAAATAGCTATTGCTAAAGACTAGAAATGTAGAGACTTTTGAAATTAGACTAGAAGAAATAAAAGAGTTGACAAGAGTGAAGAAGGCTTCACTTTTGCCTCCATATATACTACCTAACTAAGAGCTATGTGGCAACATTCTATAGGACCTCCAATACTTATCTAATTTATGAGACATATGTCTTAATTTGCAAGGAAAATTTCTTTTATATGTGCCACATGGTTAACTTATACCACAAGCTACCAATACATGTAATACATGGCTAACTTGTTGGCCAAGTGTTTATCCTACTAATTACCTATAGACATGTACAAAAATGAAACCATATCTATATAACTTCTAGGAATCTTCTCTTTAAGATATTATCAAATTAATCTATTTTTACTTACTTCTACCTATTCATATTATCTAGGTAATTATAAAAATATATATATATATATATATATATATATATATATATTCATAACAATGAATATTAGTATGAAATAAGAAATTTAGACTAAGCTATGGTTTTATCTAAATTGCTTGCAACAACAAAGATTACAAATAGTTTAATTTTGTATTGTTACCATATTATATAAAATATAAAAACTTAAGAAAATCAAAGCAAAAACAATGCATATAAATGTAGTAGAAAATAAGAGATATTTAAGTAAATAATGTGAATAAGTTCTATTTAGTAACAAAGATGATTTAATGGTGGAAAAGAATTACAATAATATTAAACTAACAACAAGAAGTAAAAGTGTGAGATTCAAAAGAGTGACAATAAACTAATTTGGTAAACAATCTTGATGTCCAAGGACAAAAAAATCAAAAATAATTTTGATTTTAATTTGTCAATGCTATTTCTAACATCTTCAAAATAATAAAGAAGTACAAAATAAAATTCAAAAATTGAATTAAAAATTAAGCAATGTTATTGTAGGTTATAACTAAGTTATTGATTACAATATATATGACCGAAAAATCATATATATATATATATATATATATATATATTAATCCACTTTATACAATAAAAATAATTTTCTTCTAAAAACAATGTACCTATACATGACATTTAAAATTTTCACATATATTCAAAAAATTAATATATATGCATGCATGGTAAGAACTAATAATAGATTTTGAACAAAAAGCATAAGTAATCAATGTAAATGATTTTAACATGACTATGATCTAAGTATAGAAGTTCTTTACAACTTTAAAAAAGAATTGTTGTTAGTGAAACAATTAGTTATACTTATTAAGTAGCTCATTGGTTGGCTTCTCTATCATTGTGTAAAGAGATTTTTTTCAAAAAAGACCTAAAAGTGTAAAAATTAAAAAAGAAACAACTTTAAGACTAAAACACTAAGAATTGGCATTTTTATAGACAACCTCGTAAATTTATTATATATATATATATATATATATGTGTGTGTGTGTGTTAATGAACTCCCACGAGTGTAAAATACTTGTAAAACTCCATGAAAATTCCTAATACATCCAAACACTACCTACTAGTGTATTGATATGAAAAAATAACTGGATCTTATCTTATTTTTCTTTTGACAAATGACAATGTTCATTATATGAGATACAACCACACCTTCTGGGCACTGATGCTTTTAACACCAAATAATTCAATTCATAACCCTCTGAATTGAAACGAAGACAAACATAAGTGATAAAGGTACTCCATAATCATTTTGAAAAAATATATTCACCATATATCTCCACGTCAAGTTGGTTTGAAATATATATGAACTGCTGTACATGCAGTGTCTGTTACAGTACATAAACTTCAAAAGTCAAATTCCATAACATTTGTTGCAACAATTGCACAGTTTATATTCAAACTAGAATACAAGAATACAATGTCTTAGTTATCGGTGACAAATGGCTCTTGCAAAGAGAAGGAACCTCAGAAGAGGATCCAACTATCAGAAATCCTAAAATAGAAACCACGCTAAGTGAACAGAACTAGGTTCAACTTTATGTACACAAGGCTTTACATAATGAACCAAATGAAGCTCGCAACTAACATGCGCTGCGTGCACATTTGGGATTCGTGATTACAACTACCTTATATTCCCTCATTAAGTGACAAAATTTCAGATAACAAGTTCGTAAATATAACAATATTCCTGATCTACACTGTTGGTGAAATATCAAGAACGACCCCAGTTTGAATATGGCCTAAACCTATTAAACGCCACTGCTTTTCTACACGTCTGCTAAAAGCTACCTTCTACCCATTTCTAGTACAGACAGGAGCGTTCAGTTGCAGCTTAGCAAAATCGTTCCTAACAGCAATTACACAAGCTCCCTTGGACATAGACCCAATGTTCACCATGAGAACCTCACTCCTGGTTTGCTTGGACACTTTTCTTTGCTTCTAGGAACCCTTTGTCCGCACACCCAACAGCCTTAGAAGAAGAGAGAAGCTGATCTGAAATCACAACAAAAAATTCTCAAGGAAAGAGCACACCAAATGAATATGTTGTTTTAACTGACAAGTCGATGGTGAGACCCCGATGAACCTCACGCAAACTTTGAAATTGACTTGTTGCACGACTCACGCAAGAATATTAGGATCTTTGCCACATTTAGAACGATATTTTAAATGTCTGCAAAGATGTACTTACTTGCTTCGCTAACTTGAGGCAACGACATACAAAGACTGAAAGGCAATAACTAGGTTTAAATGAGAATAATTACCTCCAACTCCATAAAGACATCAGGAACATTCCCAACCTCACCAAGCACTTGCCCAACCAGTCTGTCGGCACGAGTAAGAGCAGGATCAACGAATGTCCCTACTCCTACTAGGCCGCCAGGGACTGCAAATTGGAGCTTATTTTTCCCTGCAAACAGAGATGTAATCCGTGATAAAATTTGTGTGCACT